CATCTATTGTTCTCTCAAATTCTAACCTTCTGAATTCCTTATCACTTCTACCTTTCCCTTTCTAACGTTATCTCACTGAATTATACTTCTGGGATAATTTCTTCGAACCCTAATCACTCCGATTACTGCTTATACTTTTATTACCTCTACTACTATGGGATTTCAATTGACAATTGCATCTTTGTGTTGATGAGGTATGTCAACCTGAAATGATGTACGTACGTAGGTACGATGTTCTACGTCGTAACTGACTAACTGACTGACTGATGGATTATCACTTGCTTTCCTATTTATCTCATTAATTTTTACGATACTGTGCTAAGTCCGTCTGGGAACGGGTATGAGGGCGGTTATCACTTCCCGGCTTCCCGGTCTTCGAACAGGAATCACTGAACATTTGTACCAAGGTTGGTTCTGACTGACAACTGATTGTTATACATTTTGTTACGTTTCGTTTTCCGTCGATAAGGTTTATTTTTTTCATTGAAAAAAATCTGTTCAATTTGTTTCAATTTAGTTATTTTTGTACAAACAAATGTTACTCTTATTCGAATAATTTGCCTTTCTACATTTTTTTTTCAATTATAGGTTTCAACTCCAATTCTTAAACGTGAATCATCTACTTTACCAGATATCAGTAGTATATCACCTAAAAGAGGTAATTATCATTATTATTTTCAAATTACTGTTTCAATCCAACCGCTTACTACTAAAGTTTTAATTTTTACTAAACTGTGTATATGTAAATCTCGAGTTCTGCTTCAGGTAGGTGGATGGTTGTTGATTACTAGTTTATCACAATGTAGATGAGTACTTCTCGAGGCATCTGAAAAAAAATCTGCGTTAGTAGTGATCTTGGCGACCATCAAGTGTGACCACAGTTCCAAGGGACATTATCTCCTTGTATATGGTCTGTTTAGGGATAGTTGTTGATGTTTAAACTCCGTAGTTTTAAGTTCGTACCATTGGCGACGAATACTTTACTGTTTTTGAGGGGCGATCTTTCGTAAACCATAGTTACACAAAGGCAGCATCATGGAAGGTGTTTTTGTTGCCTAAAGGAAGCATGTTACGACCATTCAATCTCCCAGTATGATGAATATCAATACTTCACACTCGAATTTACAGTTTGTTGCTGTTAATTTTAACATTCTACAATGAACCTGTAGGACGTGGTAAGAACAGGTGTTCTATTGGGTTTTATTGGTTGATTGGGTAGTCATAAAACTCAAGTCTAGCGATTATATCTAGGTTAGGAGCTCCTGCAGCTAAAATGAGTTGTTGTATATTTAATAATGAAAGCCAGTTAACACTGAAATGAAGCATTCCTATGCTGATGATTGATTGATTAAATGAATTGCATATCAAATTGAATCGAATCAATAAATTATTGAATTCATTGAAATACTGTTTGTTTTAATTAATGACTAATAATTATAATAATTTCATTCGATTCACATACCCGTTAAGTATAGCTAATGCTGATATGACCATGATGACACGCTTGGTCTCTGATTTGTTCAAGCAAAACCTATGACTTACAATGTATCATGGTTTGAATTGATTTCTCGACGGGATATGGTCGCCAACCCCACGCTCCACTCTTGTCCTTTATCCCGGCTTGGGATCAGCAGTAGCCCTGGAAGTGCTCCGGGTGGAGTTGATGTTTTTAAAATGTGCTCACTAGTGACTGACTTCGTAAGGAAATTCTCGGAGTTCTAGTTAAGAAGACGTGACCAGTGGAGTTCAACCGAACTATATTTATCTAGAACAATTGTTTCTTTCGGTCATGCGGTAACACTAAAAGCACCAATTTAAGATCCGTACGTGAAGTTATACTGCTGACTGTAGATGGATGAGATAGCAGTAGAGTGTTTCCGTTGTGCAACCAGTGTCTTTTGACCTGGCTACCCCCGAAGTCGTCTCCACGTTGGACGCAACTAGATCATATCGCCATCAGCCGCCGATGGAGGGGTTCGATAGAGGACTGCCGGTCGCTCTGGGGCACCAGTTTAGATTCAGATCATGCCCTAATGTGAGCGCGTATTTGTTTGAGGCTTACTGGACGTAGGAAATATACCGTAAGGAAACCTCTTAGGGCTTTACTTGATGATAATCAAGCTAAGAAAATATTTCAGGAGGAACTAGAAAAACAGTTTGGCGACCATGCAAGTATTCGATCATAGATGTTTAAGAAGCATTGCTCGTATATCGTGGGACAACCGAGTAAGCAATGCTGTCGTTAAGAAACGAGTACTAGGTAAGGGTGGCAGATCAATAGATGAAGTAGTGAAACTTCATTAGTTGAGGTGGTTGGGACATGCCCAACCACCGACTGCCTCGACAAGCGATGTTATTGGGTGTAGGGGTAGATTGGAAGAAAGTTAGGGGCGGCCAGACCAAAACATGGCACAAATCCATGAAGCCATTAACAAGTGGACTGAGTCATGTCGGTAGATGTGGACTACCTGGTTGGGTTCCGCGAGACGATAGTCACCAATGGTTAGAGACCTTGAACGATATGGTTCAAAATCGTTTTCAATGGCGCAGGTGCATCCATTCATTGGGTGAGCTCTCTCAAATGCTAATCTTCTGGATTCGTCAGCACTTCTACCTTTGTCTTTCTAAGCTTATCTCACTGAATTATACTTCTTGAATAATATCTTCAAACCCTATTCTTCTTTATTACCATTAATACCTTTACTATTTCTATCATTATGGGATTTGATTTGACACTTGCGTCTTTGTGCTAATATGGTATGGCAACATGAACTGATGTACATACGTACGTAGTTCTACGTTGCAAATGACTGACTGACTGTTTGCAGTGATGCTACTTTCTCACAACAGAAGGGAGTAGTTAGAAAAGATCAAAACTATAAGCGTAACACTGCAACCTACTACATGGATTTCCATCTCTGGCAGTAATACTATTTCGAGAACACAGTCGACAATTTTAAAAAATTCTCATAAAACAGCCTTGATTACTTGAGTCTTCAAGCATTTGTGCCTTAGGCTCCTAGATCACTCTTTCTCTCTCTGGTCACTAAAACTATCACTAACCCAGCTTACTTTTGAGGTCCCTTTAAAAAACAATATCCCACCACGGTATAAACAGTAGGGAAGTGACACTCACCCTCTTACCTCTAACCAACGCACGAAATAACCGCCAATATATCTTATTAAATAAAATCATGTATTATTACTTTTATATAAACTCTTATCTTTTTTTATTTTTCCTAAACAATTTCATCTCAAACCAACTAGCTCATTTTTCCTATGATGAACAATTATCATTACCATTTGAAATAATCAATCTTACCACACCAGAACTTTCAATACATCAATCTAATAATAATTTGCAAGAAACCACCTATGAACATTCTCAATCAACCTGTACGAAAGAAGATGAATTAGAACAAATTTTTACTGATTACGAAAGTGTGGAAGATCAATTATTGGTAGGTTAATTATTATATTTCATTTATACGCATGTAATTCTATGATTCAATGTTCATTTCTATTATACATATATATATACAATGAGTGAAGTTATCCGCGATGTTTTTAAACATCGAATAAGTATATTTTGAAGCCAAACATCATTTTTCTAATAGATATAAGATTTAAGTGTTAGAATTCAATTTTTCATAGTGAATTTAATTTTTCAGCATTTTCTATCTCTTGATCAGCACTCTTTGTTTTGTCGTTTCATCTTGATTCTTGAACCGCGCGCCACTTTTTTGAAAAATATATACACAAACAAACATTTTTTGACTACTTGCAGATGTTTAAAATAATGGTTTATTTTTGTTTAAAAATAGAGTCAAGTTGGGCATGTTAGTCTTTTAACAGCATCATTTCAGCGAACGAGAAAGTAACTGTGTTAAGTTCGTCACTAGGTACGTTTGAATCTATTACGAGTTCACCAGCGTCCAGATAGGCGGCTACCTTGAATCCCAAGCTGTAAACAGTAGGCTTGGTAAGCGTAGAAAGTATATTCTACAAACACCCAGCAATCACCATTCCATCAACCACACAACTCTCGTTTATTTATACATCATAGAAACGTCCTTGTGACAGTCGCAAAAATAGCACATTAAAATACACAGCAGCCAATCACGGCCAAGGATTTTCCCGGTGGGAAATGAAATCTCAAGGTTAACTGATCAGCCCATGCTCGCAAACGTGAAATCCAAAATAAGGTATTTATCCGGCGAGTTCTGGACATCTAACATCCCCAACAAACTGCAGCAGCTATATTCAACATAGATGTTAAACATTTCTAATATGCTCATCAATTGATATGCTTGAATGCTATTACGAGTTAACCTTACTCGGTAAACGAGAGCAACGACAAATGATCCAGTGACACGATAGGCTATTCTGATTCCATTGTCTCCGGCCCTGCTAACTATAGCAAGAAGCCTTGATATGGCGTAGAAAGTGTATTCTACAAGCACCCAGAAAATATGAGGTTGACAAGCACATAAATCTAGTTTATTTATACATGATAGAAACGTCCTTGGAACAGCCACAAAAATAACGTACTAAAAAAGCACATTAACCAATGACATTCATAGATTTTCCGAGTGGGAAATGTAATCTCAAGGTCAACTGACCAACCCATGCTCGAAAATACACAACATCAAAAATTAGGACCTTTTTCAAGTGAGTTCTGTGAACCTAACGTCCCCGATATTAAATTCAACTTGCATCACGAGTTGTTGGACAGTTCAATTAATCCAGCTTTTTGTCAACTCACTAACTATCCACACATAAATTTGTTTCGATGTTGATAAATGATGACTTGTTGTTCTAAACTAACTGCGATAATTCATCACATTGGTCGACTTATATTTTGTTATTTATTGTTAGCTACTCATTTATTCTTATCAGTAGTTTTGAAATACTGATAAACAAACTTGCAATTCAGTTAAGCTTCAAATGCCTATTAAATATTACACCACTTTGCCTGCTTAACTGAATGAAGTTTCGCGACTCAACACTTAACACGTTTCAGTATATATGTGTCATTTATTGATAGACAGTGAATAAGTCAAATGCATCAACTACCTCATCACAAAAATATTTAAAACATTACGTAATAAGAAATGTGTAAATAATTAGATTATGACGAATATTTAAACAAAAGAAGCGCCCAATCAATTAAAAACAAATATAAGATGTGAAAATCATACTAATAAGACGAAATGTAAAATAAAACAAACTTTCAAACTCGTTTGTCAAGTTATATCTAGCCTCGAAAGGGAAAGAGGTATCACAAATTGCTTATGAACACATAAATTGGCGTTGAATGTACGAATTCCTATGGCTTCTGCAATGTGTAGGAGACGGGATCGAACTCCGTTGGGAAATGATTGAGGTATACGATAGATCACCCGAAAAGATCTACACCTATCTACAATATGACCACTATCTACCAGGTGTGCTAAGATAGAACTGTGTATTATTCTAGACTGACCCTTCTTAAACCATGCTGAGAGATGTTCACTCATTCGTTGGTTAAGTTGCCTGGTAGTACGCCCGATATAGCTATCTCCACAGGAGCAGCTGAATTTTTAAATGCACATAGAGGAGGCCAACTCAGGTAACTTATCCTTCGTTTGAGTAGACATCGCTGGTCGACTGCAGAATGTCAATGCAAGTTTGGCAGCGTTGAATGTTCTACTAATTACTCTTAATAATCTGTCCTGCAGAGTATCGCAGGCCACATCTCCGTTGAATTGTAACTTCATGAATAAAGACTTCTTTTGAGCGGTCGAAACCACCGACTTCTTTTTTACGGCAGACATATACTTCTTTAAGAATGCGCTTGGATAACCAATCTCGGTTAGTGAGCCGTTGATGAATTCCAGCTCCTGACTTACAGTATCCATTGAACATATCATATTTGCTCTGTTAGTGAGACATCTAACCAAATTTCTTTTGTAGCGGATAGGTGTAAAACTACAAAAGTGAGTGTATTGGCAAGCACTGGGATTTTTTCTATGCACGCTTCTACTTAGTGAACCATCATTTCGCCTACTTAGTGTGATGTCAAAGAAAGTCAGTTTTTTATCATATTCTTCTTCACCAGTGAACGTGATTGCCGGGTGTACATTGTTGAATTGTTCTAAAAGTTTTTCTTTCCTGGTGTCCTGATCTACAATGATGAATGTGTCATCGACATAACGGCAATATAGATCAAGTTTTTGAATAACTTCGTTGAGTGGTCCGTTTTCTAGCTTTGCTAGAAAGAGATCAGCTAGAATCGGGCCTAGAGGTGAGCCCATGGCTATACCGTCTATCTGCCTATAATAATTGTTGTTGAATACGAAATGGACATTCATCGTGCATCTTAGGAGTAATTCTTTAAGGCGATCTTCGGGCAAGACAATGTTGATTTGTTTTTCCGTAATTTGCTTGCATATGAAATCAATAGTCTCGAGGAGTGGTACATTGGTGGACAAAGAAACCACATCCAGTGAGATCATAATTTTCTTGCTAACATTCATACTTTCCACTTTGGAAGTTAACTCAAAAACATCTTTTACACTTCTTAGCACAAGTCATTTAAGCAAAGGCTCTAACCACTAACCACTTCGCAACTTTGTGGTAAGGAGAAGAATATTCTTCTTTTTTCCTTGACATCACACTAAGTAGAAGCGTGCAAATGATATGTACAATTCTAGGGCCTTTGCATTAATTGAATTCATATGCAAGCAAATTACGGAAAAACAAATCAACATTGTCTTGCCCGAAGATTGCCTTAAGGAATTACTCCTAAGATGCACGATGAATGTCCATTTCGTATTCAACAACAATTATTATAGGCAGATAGACGGTATAGCCATGGGCTCACCTCTAGGCCCGATTCTAGCTGATCTCTTTCTAGCAAAGCTAGAAAACGGACCACTCAACGAAGTTATTCAAAAACTTGATCTATATTGCCGTTATGTCGATGACACATTCATCATTGTAGATCAGGACACCAGGAAAGAAAAACTTTTAGAACAATTCAACAATGTACACCCGGCAATCACGTTCACTGGTGAAGAAGAATATGATAAAAAACTGACTTTCTTTGACATCACACTAAGTAGGCGAAATGATGGTTCACTAAGTAGAAGCGTGCATAGAAAAAATCCCAGTGCTTGCCAATACACTCACTTTTGTAGTTTTACACCTATCCGCTACAAAAGAAATTTGGTTAGATGTCTCACTAACAGAGCAAATATGATATGTTCAATGGATACTGTAAGTCAGGAGCTGGAATTCATCAACGGCTCACTAACCGAGATTGGTTATCCAAGCGCATTCTTAAAGAAGTATATGTCTGCCGTAAAAAAGAAGTCGGTGGTTTCGACCGCTCAAAAGAAGTCTTTATTCATGAAGTTACAATTCAACGGAGATGTGGCCTGCGATACTCTGCAGGACAGATTATTAAGAGTAATTAGTAGAACATTCAACGCTGCCAAACTTGCATTGACATTCTGCAGTCGACCAGCGATGTCTACTCAAACGAAGGATAAGTTACCTGAGTTGGCCTCCTCTATGTGCATTTAAAAATTCAGCTGCTCCTGTGGAGATAGCTATATCGGGCGTACTACCAGGCAACTTAACCAACGAATGAGTGAACATCTCTCAGCATGGTTTAAGAAGGGTCAGTCTAGAATAATACACAGTTCTATCTTAGCACACCTGGTAGATAGTGGTCATATTGTAGATAGGTGTAGATCTTTTCGGGTGATCTATCGTATACCTCAATCATTTCCCAACGGAGTTCGATCCCGTCTCCTACACATTGCAGAAGCCATAGGAATTCGTACATTCAACGCCAATTTATGTGTTCGCAAGCAATTTGTGATACATCTATCCCTTCCCTGGTCGGATAAAACTTAACAAACGAGTTTAAAAAGTTGTTTTACTTTATTTTTCGCCTTATTAATATGATTTTCACATCTTGTGTTAGTTTTTAATTTCTTTGGCCTCTTTTCGCTTATATTCTTCACTATCTTATTATTTATAATACTTCCTAATACGTAATGATTTTGGTGTTTTTCGGTGGCTTTTTCGAAGCCTTTTATCCATGGTTGACCTACTATTTTGAATGTTAAACTGTTGATAAAACTTTCCTTAACGTTTTTTGTTATTCCTAATACTGTTATCACATTTGTCTTCCTCTTACCAACTTGTACTTCTCCCCTTTGTGTGGTAACGTTATCTATTTAATTGCATTGATTGACTCACCAATTCCCTTGATCGGTTGAATATTTTCATTTCAATATTCGTCTTTATCGAACAGTAAATCTTGATGACAATCCAAATTGAAAACAGTACTATTGTTCGCTGATATTGGTGTTATTTTTACTAGTAATATAACAATGATTAATTGATGATTTCAAATGTGTAAAAGCACAAGTTTCCAAAACTAACTGAAAAATATCGTAGCATGTGCTCACTAGCTTCGTGAGGAAATTCTCGGAGTTCTGGTTGAGAAGACGTGACTAATTGAGTTCAACCCTGTCGGATGTAGGCAGTAACTACCAAAGACAAATGGATGAGGTCGCGCAAAAATCTGTAGATTGATCAGAGGTAGACATTAACACTATTGGATGCCGACCTAATGGTCGAGAGGTTAGGCGTTCGCGTGCAAGACCGAAAGTCCTTTGTTGGAATCCTGGGAGTAGTTAAGAGTCATGGATGTGCACTGCCATTGATGAGTCCCATACACTAGGACGAAACAGTGCTTCCAGGTTTCTAATGGTGGTCTATCTATGATTGATTGATTGATGATTTCAAATGTGTAAAAACACAAATCTCCAAGACTAACTGAAAAATATAGTAATGTAATAATTTAATTGTTTCAATATCCTCATCATTTTCAAACATGAATTCGATTATTCATCAAAGTAAATTATCTAATTTGAATCGTTATTGATTTTAGCATGTGAAGAAATCACTAACCCTGATAATTTATTATTGAAAAAGATCTATTTGTACAGGCTCTATTTGACCAGTTTACATTAAAAGGTTTAAAATTTGAGCTGTACATAGTCTTCACTACTCCCTGAGCTTAGCACAAAAATATACACTGCACAACACAGACAGACAGATATAACACAGAACTTCGTACGTAAGTACATCAGATCAGGTTGCCATACCACTTCAGCACATAGACCCAACTGTCAGTTCAAATCCAAGAGTGATAGTGATTCTATTAGCAGCAATCGAGAAGATTAGGGAGCGAAGATATGATTGGAAAAGTATAATTCAGTGAGATAAATTTAGAAAGAGAAAGATAGCGATGATGAGGAATTTATTAGGTTAGATCTAAAAAGCACAAAAAGAGTGAATGCACCTGCGCCATTGCAAACGATTCTGAGCCATGTCGTTCAAGGTCTCTAACCATTGGTGACTTTCGTCTCACGGACCCCAACCAGACAGCCTACATCTACCAATGTGACTCAGTCTATTTGTCAGTGACTTTTGTACCATGTTTTGGTTTGACCGCCCCTAGCTTTCTTCGAACCTACTCCTACACCGCAAAACATAGCTCGTCGAGGCAGTCGGTGGTTAGGCATACGCAGCACATGTCCCAACCACCTCAACTGATCAAGTTTAAGCACTTCATCTATTGATCTACCATCCTTACTTAGAACTCGTTTCCTAACGACCGAATTGCTTATACGGTCGTCCCAGGATATACGGGCATTGCTTCGGAGACATCGATGATCGAATACTATTAACCTACGAATGTCCTCTACTCATAACGGCCATGTTTCGCATACGTATAGTAGGTCAGAGCTAACTGCTGCACAGTACACTCGTCCTTTGGTTAACAAGCGGATATCTCGCCTGCGCCATAAGTGACGCTGGTTGGCAAAAGCCAATCGAGCCTTGTGTATCCGATCTGAGACTTCTTCAGTCACCAGGCCATCAGTACTGATGAGACTTCCCAGATAAGTGAAGCAGCCTACACGCTCGACTACTATGTGTTTCTGATTTAAGGCGTGCATCCGAATCCTTTTTTGAGGATGGAGTACATGTGAAGAAATCACTAACCCTGATAAATTACTCAGAAAGATCTATTTGTATTGGCTCTATGACCAGTTTACATTAAAAGGTCCAAAATTTACCTGTACATAGTCTTCACTACTCCCTTGGCTTAGCACAAAAATATACACTGCAATAACTTTGACCAATAGCAGTCTGTTTGATCAAATGCAAAAAAAATGTTGGTCATTCTAGCTTCGATATCACTACTGGTTGTGTAGAAAACACGATCTGTAGTTATTCAGCGTTGAATGATCTTCGGAATAATATCTCATCGGTTGCATCGCTCCTTCATAAAGAGAAGGATTTCTCATTCATTGTTTTTGTATTTCGCCTCTACTAATTTTTCTTTGTCTCACATGTATTTGTTTAGAAACTTTATGAATTTAAAGTAGAATAGCTTTTCCGGACGCTCTATTGGACAAAAAGGGGAGAGAGGATGGATCATTAAGAAGCAGTTTCAACAAGAACAGTGCCTGGACAGGGCATCATACACATTTCCTCAGCTGTGTACCTTTTCATTATATAAACGAAGTCTGGCCAAAACTCTTAGTTAACGAATATGTTCTACCGCACGTAATATGCCTAGGAGAAACGGATACTTTGGAATCAGGTTTCAATTTCTTTAAATTGCTACTTCTTCGGCAAACCGAAACAAAACTCTGTATTTCGTTTTGTCTGTTGATAATGAGGCAGTGCAATAATATATCCGTCATTGCACTAATTAGAGTTGATGCACCTTTCAGTCTCAATGTTTTTTCCTCACTTCTCTACATCTGCGTCTTTGTGCTAATGTGGTATGGCAACATGAACTTGTGTACATATGTACGTAGTTCCACGTTGCAACTGACTGACTGACCGACTCACTTCTCGCCACATTCTAAACAAGTCAAGGAATACGACTATTATTGTCGGTGGGCCTGAAAGCACGTCTGTGCTTCAGAATCTACCGAAGTGTAAACATTTGGTCTATACATTCATTCACGTGCAAGTCTGAAACTACTCTGCTTTTCTCAAGCTTGTTCTTCATATGCTCTAGTTAGGTGTCGAATTATTATTGTAGCTAAGATTTCAGACATTATGTTAGTTAAACCGATTGCTCTGTGATTGTCACGTAAGGACTTTTGTTCTTGTTTATAAATTGAGACGATTAGCGATTGAGACCAATGAAATGGAATTACGTCCAGTTCCCAAATTCTACTTAAGATCTCAGTCAATCTAACTGTCTAAACTGAACCACCATCCTTAAAAATCTCAGGGGCTTGCAGCTCTGCCACACCTTAGATTCCCTATAGTCTTCCTCATCATGAGTTGATTGAAAAATGTGGGTTTCTGAAGTGTGTCTGAGAGCCAGTTAAACTGTTTGCTGAAGTGTTCTACCCATCGATCCTATCTTTCCGATTGAGAGTAAATGATTGTTGCGATAGCGTCACTGATAGTCGAATTTCTAATAGCAGCTTCCTTGATAGGTCGAAGTAGGTATCTATTTTTACTAATTCCTGGTTAATTATTCATCTTGTTGGCTTTTGTTACCTACCATTGCTCACGATTAGTGCATAGGCTTTTTATCAGCTAACATTTAAGTGTTCAGAGCCGAATGGGATGAATTTCCGAACTTTTATCAGTTTCTTTGATACCACTGTGATCCCTAACCTCTTCTCTACAGTCGGCAGTGTGACTTTACATACGGACCTTAAATTGGTGCTTTCAGTCTGACCGTTCCCCAAGTAACGTGCTTGATATATAGTAGGACCAAAACATACATTTCAACCAATATACGTCGTCTGGTTCATCACAAAATGCATGTCCGACCATCACGTCAAGGTAGCGGCTACGATTAAAACCTTAGACGACATCGTATCGAAACTTGTGTGCTTTGAAACTAGCGAAGTGAGCAGTACTAAGTTTAAACTTGATGTAAATGATCAAATGACGTGTGATTTGATGGGGTCGTGTGTCCTTCTCGATTGGAATAGTTGAGATATGTGTTGCCAATGCCCACTCACCATTTCTATCGGCTTACAATGTTCAATACTGGATAAATGGCTTGGGAAAAATACTTGGTGTAGCCAAATAAACTTGGCATAAGTCCATAATTCAAGTGACTGTTGAACTGAACTCCTTTTTTGTAAGTGTAGACTATTGAGTTGGAGTCCACGTGATTATCGTCATCAATAGGTGAAGACATTGTGTGACATAAGTGAAGTTACACTTTTCAATCTTGAAATCCACTAAAAATAATTAAATCATACATTTAAAAAAAAGAATAATTTATTTTTAAATCTTTAATTTTTTTCAGTTTAGTGATATTCACCTAGAATCGATCAAAGTGGATTTTTCCATGGACAACTTACGTAATCAATGGAAACAAGTTTTACTCAGAATACCATCATCCAATCATGATGATGATGATAGCGTTGACAATCATCCTACTGGCGAGAAATTCACGCTTGGTAAATTCAAAGCAATTGAAAATCAAGAAATTGAGCATGAATTAACTACTTATTTCAAGTATGTCATGATATATTTGAATGTTTTATTTATTGATAATTTTTGAAATCTTGAATTGATCCATGTTAGATTACTTCCATTTGAAACCTGGACAGATGTTTCGTCCTGGTTTAGGACTCATCAGTTTCAATGCACATCCATGACTCCCGCTGCTCAGAGGAATCAAAACCAGGACCTTCGGTCTTGCACATGAACTCTTAACCTCCATACCACTAAACCAGCATGTAACGGTGTTAACGTTGCCAGTGAGGTTGCACAAGACTGTGGATTGGTCGAAGCTCCAACATACTCTATCCTTGGCTTTCTTTTCCAGTTCTATCCAATCGCTGTTCATTCTTTTCATGTCTATTTCCAATTCTCAGTGTAATATGTTCTTTGGTCCTCCTCTTTTCCTTTGATCTTGAAGAGTTCCAAGTGAGATCTTGTCTTCTGACGACATAGTTGGGTGATTTCCTCAATATATGTACAGATTGATGGTAAGAAGGCAGGTGTAATAACAATAGATCTAATCAATAGGTCAAAATAGGATATATGGAATTAAAATAATGATTAAAAAACTATTAATATTGCGTAATATGTGTGCGAACAATTAGATAGGGAAGAATGTAAACGGAAAGAGGCAACAGATGACGGGATATGAAAGGAAGTTAATGATAAGTCAGTCAGTCAGATGCAACGTAGAACTTCGTACGTAAATACATCAGTTCATGTTGCCATACCACATCAGCACAGAGATATAATTGTCAATTCAAATCCAATAGTAGTAGAGGTAGTAAAGGTATTAGAAGTAATTGGAGAGGTTAGGATTAGAAAATATTATTCAAGAAGTATGATTCAGTGAGAAAAGTTTAGGGAGTCGAAACTAGAGGTGTTGAAGAATCCAGAAGATTAGGATTTGAGAGAACACAAAGAATAAATGCACCAACGCCATTGCGAACGATTTTGAGCCATGTCATTCAGGTTATCTAACCACCGATTATTATCATCTCGCGGACCCCAACCACGTAGTCGACAACTATTAACATGACTCAGTCCACTTGTCAATGACTTCATGGATTTCTGCCATGTTTTGGTCTAGCCACCCCTAGCTTTCTTCCAACCTATTCCTACACTACAAAACAAAGCTCGTCGAGGCAGTCGGTGGTTAGGCATACGTACCACATGTCCCAAACACCTCAAATGATGAAGTTTCACCACTTCATCTATTGATCTGCCATTCCTACCTAGCACCCGATTCCTAATAACAGCGTTGCTCACTCGGGAGTGGTGGATGTGCACTGCTGGTGAGTCCTATACAAGGACGAAACAGCCGTTCAGAGCTTCCAGGTTTCTAATGTTGGTGTAACATTGATCGATTCATCATTTCAAAGTAACTCAACAATCTTCATAACCCACTGTAATGTACAAAGTATCCATTATTCACAAATTTTAACGCAATCCTAAGAAAAAAAATGTGAAATGTGAATATACAGTTGAAGAATCTGACTGATAAACAATTCCGTAGATGTCTTTATATGTCTATCATTTTACTTAAACTATTTATATCGTTTTTATTATTATTATTATTATTACTATTTTCCTCCATCACAGGAAAGAAACGTTCAATAATTTAAAAGTAATTGGACAATTTAATATGGGTTTTATAATTGCTCAACATAATCAAGATTTATTTATCATTGATCAACATGCTAGTGATGAGAAATATCGTTTTGAACAATTATTAGAAAATTATCGATTCAAAAGTCAACCATTAGTTGTGTAAGTTGTTGTGCACTGCCTTTTTTTAGTATTATACAGGTATTACACAATCATCACTGTGCACATTCATATTTGTGTGAGTCTCAAAATATGCCTCGTCAAGGTTTCTAGATACTCCAGGGTACTTACTTACCTACTTACTTTCGCATGTTACCCCCAAAGGTGCATAGCCCGCCCACCAGTTTTCTCCAACCAACTCTATTCTGGGCTTCCCTCTCCAGTTCTGTCCAATTTTTGTTCATTCCTCTCATATCTTTCTCTATTTCTCGGCGTAGTGTGTTCTTTCGCCTTCCTCTTTTCCTTTTGCCTTGAGGGTCCCATGCGAGGGCTTGTCTCGTGACGCAGTTAAGTGCTTTTCATAGTGTGTGTCCTATCTACTTCCACCGCTTCTTCCGAATTTCCTCCACTGGAATCTGGTTTGTTCTCTCCCTCAGTACGTTGTTGCTGATAGTGTCTGACCAACGAATACGAAGTATTTTGCGCAGACAACTATTAATAAATACTTGTATCTTCTGGATGATGGCTTTGGTAGTTCTCCATGTTTCTGCTCCATACAGTAGAACTGTCTTGACATTTGTATTGAAAATGCTGATTTTGGTTTTGGTTGAAAGTTGTTTGGAGTTCCAGATATTTTTCAACTGTAGAAATGCAGCCCTTGCTTTGCCAATCCGCGCCCTCGCATCTGCATCGGATCCACCTTGTTTGTCGATGATGCTGCCCAGATATATAAAAGTGTTAACGTCTTCCAAGAGATGTCTATCAAGAGTGATATGGTTGGTGCATCAACATGCTTTTTCCTTTATGTATGTTGAGACCTACTGCTGCAGAGGCTGCTGCTACACTGGTCGTCTTCTCTTGCATTTGTTGTTGCGTGTGAGATAGAAGAGTCAGGTCATCTGCGAAGTCCAGATCGTTCCATGTACCTAAAAATATGGTTGCTGTGGTTGTCAGAAGAGGCATCGGCCCCGTGACTTCCGATGGAACTCGGCTTTCATCACGCGACGTCATAATTCTTCTTCCAACTCTCAGGGCAGAGTGAAAATGGTTTGGATTATTTTTTCTGGTTAGCGTTTTTTTGGCAAGTTAGTTTTTGACGGAATGGGGTCACCAACCCCATGTCCAACCCTCCTCCTTTACCCGGGCTTGGGACCGGCAGTAGCCCCTAAGGTTCTACTGGCGGAGTTACTCCAGGGTTCTAGGAATCATTTAAAACGATCGGCGCTGAATTGAGGCTTCATGGAAGCATTTAAAATATTCAGGATCACGTGCTACGATTCTGAGTGGATATTTGCATATACCGCTACTTCATGAAGTACAGTTCTAAAAATTTCCAGAAGCTCAAGTTTTTGTATAACTCTACAAATACCACCGTTTTTTCTATCCATGAACACTATCCTTTGAGTAATACTTTATTTTCACAATTCGCGTCCTCCATTTTTTCTGTCGGGATGGTTCATAGAAGCCTTCAGAGGCTGCTCCCAAGAAGCCGAAGTGCTTTTCTCCAGTCTCAGCTTGATAAAATCTCTAGAATTTCGATGTAACACAAGGTCATGACGCACCATCACTCATCGAAGATTGGTTGATTTTATATGCCATTTTCACTCCATACAAAAAAACTATAAGCACAGGCGATTTCTCTGTACATTTTTGACACCTACTAGTGATTTCTTTTGTTTCTTCCGGTTTTTTATTCGCGACCTGGTTGGGGAGATCCTACCAACCCTAGTGCCAAAGGTTCTAGTAGGCATCTGTTAGGATATTCATCCAATATCCTAAGAGAATTATTGATCGATTCCTATTGTTTAATTCCTACTGGTCAATTTTATGGTCGTCCTAGATATCAATGTCACGTGCTCCATTGTTGTTTCTTATTGGTTGTCCTGACTGTCAATGTCACAGACTTTGATGCTGCTTCTCATTCGACCAAAATGTATAAATACGCATTATCTTTAACATTTTATGACCAGGACCAGGACCCGGTCCCGGATCTGTAGTCCGGGATCGTGATTCTCTTCTGGACTCGGACCTCATACTTTCTGGATGATTGTGCAATACAGGTTCTACTTCATATCAAGTCTTCTTATAGGGGGTTGGGATAATTGGATTAGAGTAGCATTTCGTATCGCCGTATCCTCGATCCATGCTCTCGTTAACCGACTATGGTAAACTCGTAATAGTTCAAGTATATCAAGTTGACGTGTTTACCTGCAGGCGTAACAGCATCATAACAGTTTTAGTCGACCTATAGAAGTAGTCTGTGATTGTAGGTGTCTCACTATGAAGGCAGTGAAACTTATCACTTCTTTAAAGAGATTTGATCCACAGACCTTTGAAACACGTAAAAAAATAACGCCTAACATAATAGTTTTGAAACAGATTCAGTATGAGAATGTAAGTCTATCACTATGACTGATTGTAAGTGACATAGATCTTTGATGGCTTAGCTTTCAGACAACAGCCGATAGCTTCAAAAATACATCCCCGCCCCTTTTTATTTGATTGCTAGTCCTAAGTAAATTAAGGATCTGGCACAAATTAGCATTCATTCAAGTTACCGCACCACATCACCACAGTAGTTTACCTAGACAGATGATGTAACTTCTTTGTTCTCTGTATCGTCTGCTTGACATTTCAATCGCCGTTAGTCTCTGCACTACCGCTTCCGCGATGAGTACTGACTGATATTGCTAATCCCATTGGTGTTCCTTTTATTTGTTCCTAGACTCTGTTGTTGAATTAAAAATACGTTGTTAAGCATAGATCGATGAGTTCAAGCAGACTCTGGCTCTGAAGCTTTGTATATTTGTGCAGATTTGTGTCGTTGATGAGGAGCAGAGAAAGAGTTTCTTTAGCTAAGCTTGACTCTATTGAGGTGAATATGGCTGTTACGTCGACGGATACCATCGTTTCGTCGTTGTCGATTTGAATCCCCTTGAGTTTATCCAAGAATTGTGTGGCAGATTTAATGGAGTAGTTGGATCCATCCACCAGATGTTTTAATATCCTTGAAATTTCTCTTGATAAGTTGTAGGTTGGGGTCCCGGGTAGGGATACAATAGAGCGTAGTGGAATGTTGGGTTTGTGAAGTTTCGGCCTACCGTAGAATCGTGGAATTACTGGTCCATTGGATTTCATTCTCCATTGATCTTGTTTTGATATTTGTCTTGCTTTGACAAGCCTGTTTAGAGTCCTTCAGATTTGGTTGTCCAACTTTTTTATTGGGTTTGTGTCGATTGGTTTATATACGCTTCTGTCCTGAAGTAGTTCCTCGACTTTTTTCATATATTCTACCTTGTCCATAATTACTGTCGTGCGTCCTTTTTCCGCTGGAACTATGACTATTGAGTTTCTTTAGAGCTTTTCGTTGTTGTGCTGTTAGTTGATTGTTGTCTCTCTTCCGTCGAGTTAGTGGTACAATGGTTTGCCTTATTTCTTGTTGAGTTTCTTCACTTATTCCTGCCGTTTCGTGTGATGACTCTAGTGCATCAAAGAATTCGAGTTTTGAAGCGTCCTTCGTGTTATAGTTTAATCCTTTTTGAAGCAGTTGTTCTTCTGTTGTTGTTAGGTGTTGCTTCGAGAGGTACACCACACAATTGGTTGCGTTTTCTTCTGCGGGTCGCTTTGAAATCTTGATTAATTTTTTTTTGATGCTGCTTCTTCTTTGTTCTCTGTGTCGTCTGCTTGACATTTCAATCGCCGATTGAGATGATGTAACTTACTTAAGCCTGTTACCCCTTGATAGAGTATAGGCAACCGATATGCATGCTCCAAACTACTCTGTCCTTAGACTTCCTTTCCAGTTCCACCCTGGAAACTCTATTAAATAATTAATTGTGACTCGACTCTCAACCTCGCATCAATTTATTTTCACTGTGTTATATCCTTTTTATTTTTCCATAGACCTCAAAAATTGAATTTAACCATAGCAAATGAACAAGTGTTAATCAGTAATTTGGATGTATTCGCCAAGAACGGATTCGCTTTTCGTATTCACAATGATGGTATGTTTACTACAGACCTTTTTTTTATTATTTCTGTATAGCTTTCCATAAAATTATATAATTGGCAAGGTGTATCAAATCAATCATTTGCGCCTGACAATGAACAAGGTTGAACTTGGTTAAAAAAAAGGATAGTCAATCAGTGAATTATAAGGTAGAACTTCGTACGTACGTACGTATGGACATAAGTTCAGGTTGCCATAACACATTAGCACAGAGGTGCAATTGTCATATCAAATCTCATAGTAGTAGAAGTATTAGCAGTGATTGGAAGGATTACGGTCCGATGATATTTATTATTCAGGAAGTATAATATTGTGGAATGAATTCAAAAGAGAAAGATGGTGATGAAGAATTTAGGTTAGGATTTGACATCAAAATTGCACGTTATCTTGATCACTACTACAATGCATATGTATGCATATGTATATAACATCATCAATATACTTTTACAATATAATATGCGACTATGAAGTGAAGTAGTCGAAAGTGTAGACCGCTTCACTTATCTTGGGATTTTCATCAGCGCTGATGGTCTGGTGATTGACGAAATCTCAGCTCGGATACAGAAGGCTCGATTGGCTTTTGCCAACCAGCATCACTTATGGCGTAGGCGAGGTATCTGTTTGCTGATTAAAGGACAAGTCTACTGCGCAGCAGTTCGCTCCGTCCTACTATACGGGTGCGAAACTTGGCCGTTAAGAGTAGAGGACATTCGTAGGTTACTAGTCTTCGATCATATATGTCTCAGAAGTATTGCTGTCGTTAAGAAACGAGTACTAGTTAAGAATGGCAGATCAATAGATGAAGTAGTAAAACTTCATGAGTTGAGGTGGTTGGGACATGTGTTACGTATGCCTAACCACCGACTGCCTCGACGAGCTATGTTTTGCAGTGTAGGAGTAGATTGGGAGAAAGCTAGGGGCGGCCAGACCAAAACATGGCAGAAATCCATGAAGTCACTGACAAGTGGACTGAGTCATGTTGGCAGATGTAGGCCACCTGGTTGGCGTCCGCGAGACGATAGTCACCAATGGTTTGAGACCTTGAATGACATGGCTCGGAATCGTTTGCAATGGCACAGCTGCATCCACTCTTTATGTTCTCTTTAATTCTAACCTTCTGAATTCATCATCATCTCTATCTTTCTCCTAAATTTATCTTACTGAATTATACTTCTCGAATCATATCTTCGCTTTCTAATCTTCTCCATTACTGCTAATACTTCTATTATTGCAATCACTGTTGGATTTGAACTGACAGTTCCGTCTCTGTGTGATGCTAATGTGGTATGGCCACCTGAACTGATGTACTTATGTACGAAGTTCTGCGTTGTATCTGTCTGTCTGTCATCAATATCCTTTTACAATTTAGTATGCGACTATGATTTACAGTTATTAAATTTAGTTCAGTTATCTAGTAGTGTTTCTTGAAATTTTACTCATTGTCTATAACTTTGAACTATCTAAAAAAAAATTGTGACTTGTTTACATGTTCATTTTATTGGTTGAAAGTGTCCCTAAGCATCTTCATTAATCGTCACATTGATTTTTCTTCTTGAAACCATGAATTGATGAGTGTTAGACCACTATTCGAAATGTGGAAGCACTGAATAGCCATTTCATCCGAGTATGGACCTATTCATCAACAGTGTGCATTCACAACTCCGGTTACCTGCAGGATCCGGACCTAGGACCTTTGGTCTTGTGCGCTTAATGTCTAGATCACTGAGCCGGTATTTGACGGCGTTAATGGTGTCTAACTTTGATCAATCCAAAACACAAAAATTATTATTTTGTAGAAATTACAGTGAATTTTTTTTCGCTCACATTTATTTTATTCTTTTTTAGAACCTGCTGGTCAACAAGTATTTCTTGTGGCTGCACCAATGTTAGAGAATAAATTATTCAGTTATAGAGGTAAATCATTGTTGGTTGCTTTTTTGTAATTTATTCAGAAACTCCACTCTTGAACGATTATCAGTTCAGGTTTCCATAATACATTAATTAGCACACAGACATGCAACTGTCCATATAAATCTCATAGCGCTAGAGGTAGTAGCAGTGTTAGCCGTAATCGGGGAAGGTTACGGTTCGAAAATACTATTCAAAATGTATAATTCTGTGAAATAAATTTCGGAAAAGAGAAAGGAATGAGTGATGAGGAATTCTGAGAGATTTGAGAATTTGAGAGATGACAAAGAATGGGTGCATCTGTTGTGTCATTGCAAATGCTTTTGGGCCATGTCATTCAAACTCTCTAACCATCCATTACTATCATCTCCCGGATCCCAACCAGGTAGTCTACATCTACCAACATGACTCAGTTCACTTGTCAGTGACTTCATGGATTTGTACGATGTTTTGCTTCGACCACCCCTACCTTTCTTCCAACCTCCTCCAACACCAAAAAACATCACTTGTCCAGTAGAGTGTAAATATGGTCGAATTAAACATGAGTAAATATATAGAATAAAAGCGAAGAGATAAATTGGGCATAAAGTAAAAGTGTTGTAACAAGTATGTTTTTTAAAGTAGACCTATCTATGTATATGATGGAATCATTCTTTGAAAAAAATTTATGTTATCCGTGATCTTGACTGCACACACTGTTTCCTTATTCCTCTTTTTTCCCGGTATTTACAGATATTGAAGAAATGTTGTTTGTATTATCGGAAACATCTGTAAGTGTTGTGTACTTTTTTTCGAAAATTTCTGTCTTTTTCATTCTCAGATATTTTTTTTTGGTTTAAAGTTATCGATCTACCTCTACCTACCTGCTTACCACTTGCATTCTTTGGAATTTTATGAATCGACGATCATTGTTAGACCGCCATTAGAAAGATACCTGAAAGCATTGGACAGTTGTTTCATTTACTCACTAGTGAGCACTAACTTTATCAAGGTATTCTCGGAGTTATAGTGCGAAACCGTGACCAGTGGAGTTCGACCCTGTCTGGTGTAGGCAGTTATCCACAGATAAAAGTGGATGAGAGGTCGCGCTTTACCATGGATTGATTGAAGTTAAACATTATCACTACTAGATGACGGTTCAGTGCACTTATGATGAGTCCCATACTAGGATGAAACGGCCGTTTAGTGCTTCCTGGTTTCTAATGGGGTGACCTACCAATGACTGATCCACTATATCAGTGTAAAACAACACTCCCTGTAACTCTATAATGAAAAATCATAATTCTGTTTTATGTATCTGACTGTATTGCGAACTAATTTATAAGGATATTATCAAAAAGTGAATTTATTTTTATACTGCTAGTGAATCATTTGTTCCTTTCACTGAATGGTTCTATTAGTCATCAAATTATCTTTACATGTCATTGGGAATATTGATTGGAAACAGTGGTACCCTTTGATAAATTTGAACAGAGAAATGAGAAGATATATTTTGTGAGATATTACCATTTCGTGCTTTCTTGCCAGTCACATACAAGCAACATATTATTCGTGTACATACAGTTTTGAAGATAAGGTCAAAATTTTTTTTATTTAGCATGACATTCACTCACTAGAACCATGGTAAACAAAGGTCAACTTACAGTTGTTTTTCAACACATAAAGTTGGACTTTTCCTACCAATCAAGATAGCTTCGAGTAGTTTCAGTGTGTGTGTGGCGGTTTTGATGACATGTCACAAATCTAAAGGCTGATTTTTGGTCAATTTGATGACCATTCATCATTAGATGTTTGCCAATGGACAAGGCTGGGTTTCTTGATCGATCATCTTGAGATGACGGGCTAGGTTGATAAATCATGGATTTGATTAACCATCTTGGAATATGTTCCCCTATCCTGTCCTCCAATCGGCGATCTGTCCTACCCAAGTAACTTCCTCCACAGTTACATGTGAATTGGTAAATACAGTGGGATTTGGACTGAATCGGTCTTGGAGACTTGATTGGGGTAACTGAGATCGATTGGGTTGTTGTGATAAGCCTCAGATTAGCTGCATTGAAGGTCTTTTTTATTGCAGCTGCAGTCTGTTTGGTTGTAATTTTCATGCAATGATCATCCTTGAAAGGTAACTACTGTAGGTACACTGGTTTCTTGGGCACATCGGTTGCTATCAGTTTCGTCGTAGTTGTGTTCTGATGACCAATAAACGTTTTGGGATATACGTTTAGTTTAAGTGTCTCAGTAATAAGCTTGAGTTCGTCGTCCAATGTATCAACAGTGCAGATTCTACTTGCTCAAGCGAATAAAGTTTTGACAACAGAACGTTTGTATTGTATGGGGCAGAAACTAGTGAAGTGGGTATTCTTATGTTGTGTGAAGTTATGTAATCGCAAATAAATTACACACTTTCTTCGAGAGGTACATTTGTGAACAGAGAGTTTACACCGAAAGAATACATCCGACTATTAGAAATATTCAAATGTCCCAAGGTTAGGAGAAGTTCAAATGAATCAATGAGAGTATGTATCGACAGTTGTTTACAAACAGGATCCCGTCCAGACGGATCAATCAGACGAAAAGTACACCACAAACCCAACTGGTCGGAACAGTACCTCCACTTCACTAGTTTCTGCCCCATACAATACAAACGTTCTGTTGTCAAAACTTTATTCGCTTGAGCAAGTAGAATCTGCACTGTTGATACATTGGACGACGAACTCAAGCTTATTACTGAGACACTTAAACTAAACGTATATCCCAAAACGTTTATTGGTCATCAGAACACAACTACGACGAAACTGATAGCAACCGATGTGCCCAAGAAACCAGTGTACCTACAGTAGTTACCTTTCAAGGATGATCATTGCATGAAAATTACAACCAAACAGACTGCAGCTGCAATAAAAAAGACCTTCAATGCAGCTAATCTGAGGCTTATCACAACAACCCAATCGATCTCAGTTACCCCAATCAAGTCTCCAAGACCGATTCAGTCCAAATCCCACTGTATTTACCAATTCACATGTAACTGTGGAGGAAGTTACTTGGGTAGGACAGATCGCCGATTGGAGGACAGGATAGGGGAACATATTCCAAGATGGTTAATCAAATCCATGATTTATCAACCTAGCCCGTCATCTCAAGATGATCGATCAAGAAACCCAGCCTTGTCCATTGGCAAACACCTAATGATGAATGGTCATCAAATTGACCAAAAATCAGCCTTTAGATTTGTGACATGTCATCAAAACCGCCACACACACACTGAAACTACTCGAAGCTATCTTGATTGGTAGGAAAAGTCCAACTTTATGTGTTGAAAAACAACTGTAAGTTGACCTTTGTTTACCATGGTTCTAGTGAGTGAATGTGTCATGCTTAATAAGAAATTTTGATCTTATCTTCAAAAACTGTATTTACACGAATAACATAACTGACGAGAATGCACGAAATAGTACTATCTCACAAAATATATCTTCTCATTTCTCTGTTCAAATATTGATTGGTTTTTTGCTTTCCCTTTTTTCTCTTCTCGTTCGTTTGTTTTTTCTCCCTTCAGAATAAGAAATGTCGACCATCACGTCTGAGAGATATACTTGCTTCACGATCATGTCGTAGTGCTGTTATGATTGGCACAGCATTAGATCATAAAAAAATGAAACGAGTAAATAGTTGGTTGTATTGTTATTGTGTTATTTTTGATTGAAATGATGAATGAATCGTTCTTAGATCGCCATTTGAGACATGGAAGTACTGGACAGCCATGTCGTCTTGGTATGGGACTCATGTATAGTGCACATCCATGACTTGAACCCAGGACCTTCGCTCTCGTGCACGAACACTTAACCTCTTAACCTGTGGGCCATTTAGCCGGTATTCAACGGTTTTGATGTTTAACTCTGATCACTCTAAGCATTGGTCATTGATAGTTCACCGTTAAAAACCTGCAAGCTCTTGAAGGTCGTTTCTTGTTTAAATGAGACTCATTAACAACACGCATCCACGCTAGCAGGAATCCAACCCATGACCTTCAGCCTCACGCTCAAACGCTTAACCTCTAGACCAGTGGCATCCAACAGTGAATGCTCACTGCCGATGAGTCCAATGCCATGACGAAACGGCTGTCGAGTTATTCGACGTTTCTAATGGTGGTCTAACAATGTGCGATTCGTGATTCGAACGACACTTATTAATCTTACTGATTGTTCTCGCTTTGAGTTTGCTATTGCTCCTTTCTCATGGTCTTATTTGTTGATAATATAAACAAGAGTTGTCCGGTTACAATTCTGACTTTTGTTGGGAAACTTTAAGCTCTCATGAAAGTCGTTATTTCTCCCCTCCCTCTTTCCCTCGTATCCACTTGTAGGCTATTAACTTTGAGACTTTTTTAGTGAACTTGTCGTTCAGTTTACCTAGTTTGTGTAGATCTTGTTTGATATTAAAAGAATCCTCCGATTGTTCATGATTCTGAATTACTGTAAGATGTATCACATCACCTAATTTTACTAAAAGATAATATAATCATAACTTATCAACAAAGTACTATATAGAATATGAATACTATAACTGGCCCTATCTGGATTAATATTTAGCCAGTCCCATTATAATTACTGTTGTGGTGAATACTACTCACAATGTGGGTGCTAAGTAGTTTGTAGTGGAGTTTCAGGTCTGAATGTATGGCGTGATCCAAGTATTTAAAAGACTAGAAAACATGTGGGAGAAAGGATAGTCAATAATCTGTTTGTTTCGCAGATTAAAGGATAAGCTGTACACAATTTTTTTAGTAAACTAGATCTTTTCTAAGTACATCACTATTCCATCTCGCCGAAGTGTCTTCGTATATCACGCTGTAGTGAACGAGAACACAGGTGAGGGCAACCGAATTGTATTTAACGAAAATTACAGAGTTACTCAGTAAAATCGGAAAACCATATCGTAAATCGTTCATTTGCAAAATATCAGTCCATCATATCGAACTGGACTGTTCCTGTTGCAAAACACCAATCCATTGTCACTATTCATGCGTTTCATACAAATTCCATTGTGTTCCCACTCTTCTTCCTTTCTTGATGTTCCCCCATCTTCTGCTGCTGCCAGACATTACGTTGACACACGTCATATACTACTTATAAGTAGCGCGCACCACAACACTAGTAGCATTAGGCAGTATTCAGTTCAAGTCATTACATAAATACATAAACGTATATATTTGCACTTTTCCCCCTAACTTTGTTAACTTGGGCCTTATTTGTACTTTACTCTTCTAGATATTAACAAATATGGGTTCCATGGATCATCCATGGGTAAGCTTTAAATTTTGTATTGACGATAACCTTATTCTATGAGAAAGCTTCCTGGTGTGAAACTCAATTTCTTATTAAGCATGAATTTTACTAATCACTCTGTTGAATTACTTGAAAATATAAATATCGAATTGTTCTTCTAAGCGAGTAAGCAATGTAGTTGTTAGGAAAAGTGTACTAGGTTAAAGATGGCAAACTATTTGGTGAATTACTGCATCTTTATCTGCTGAGATGATTGGCACATGTGCTACGAATGTTCAACCACAAACTGCCCCCAACGAGCGATATTTTGTAGTTTCGGTGTTGGTTGTAAGAAAGCTAGTGGTGGCAGGATCAAAACATGACAGCAATCCATGATTTCACTGACAACTGGACTAAATGGTCCGTGTTCGCGAGACCATAGTAACCGATGGTTAGAAACTTTCAATGATATAACTCAAAATAGTTTACAGTTGTTCAGGTATATTCACTGTTTGTCTTCCCCATGACCTTCATCTTTCTCTTCTCAAATTCGTCTGATTGGATTATACTCCTTGAATAATATCATCGAACTCTAATCTTTCCGATTACTACTAATACTTCTACTGCCTGTACCAAGACGCTGACAAACTGCAGAGTCTTCTGACCACCCTAAGAAACAATGCATGCAGGTTCGGTATGCGCTTTTCCCCCTCGAGATTGGGTTGCATTGGCACCTGAACTAGTGATAGGGAGTGAAGTAGTCGAACGTGTAAATCGCTTCACTTATCTGGGGAGTCTCATCAGTGCCGATGGCCTGGTGACTGACGGAACCTCAGCTCGGTTACAGAAGGCTCGATTGGCTTTTGCCAACCTGCGTCACTTATGGTGTAGGCGAGATATCCGTTTGCTGACTAAAGGACGAGTGTACTGCCCAGTAGTTCGCTCCGTCCTACTGTACAGATGCGAAACACGGCCAGTGAGAGTAGAAGATATTCGTTGATTACTGGTTTTTGATCATAGGTGTCTTCGAAGCATTGCTCGTATATCCTGGGACAACTGAGTAAGCGATGCTGTCGTTAGGAGACGGGTGCTAGGTAAGAATGGCAGATTAATAGACGAAGTAGTGAAACTTCATCAGTCGAGGTGGTTGGGACATGTGTTGCGTATGCCTAACCACCGATTGCCTCGACGAGCTACATTTTGTGGTGTAGGAGTAGGTTGGAAGAAAGGTGGGGGCAGCCAGACCAAAACATGGCAGAAATCCATGAAGTCACTGACAAGTGGACTGAGTCATGTTGGTAGATGTATACTACCAGGTTAGGGTCCGCGAGATGATAATAATCGATGGTTGGAGACCTTGAATGACATCGCTCAAAATCGTTGGCAATGGCGCCGGTGCATTTATTCTTTGTGTTCTCTCAAATCCTAATCTTCTGTATTCTTCAACTTTGTAAACTTTCCCGACGTGGTATGGCCACATGAAGAGATGTACTTACGTACGAAGTTCTACGTTGCATCTGACTGACTGACTGCCTGTACCATTGTGCGATTTGAATCGACATTCGCATCTCTATGCAAATGTGGTGTGACAACTTGAACTGATGTACGCACGTACGAAGTTCTACATTGTTGCTGACTGGCTGACTGACTACATTAAAAATTTACGGATATGATATTATTATTTTGAAATAGTACAAGGCAATGTAGTGGGTCATAAAGCTATACGATTTTTTGTGATAAGTAGCTTGTTACTACTCAATTGATATAATAGTAGTTGACACTAATGCTCTGGCATTCTCGAATGTTTACATGCTATTGACTTAAAGCCAGTTGTTCTAACCAAATCAAACACCACTCCCTATACACAAAATCTTCAACAACTTATTTACCACTGATCCATTCATACCCTTCTCTTGTTGCATCATAATGATTAAACTAATCGATTACTTAATTAGAATTAGAATAAGAATTTCTCAATGGCGCCGGTGCATTTACTCTTTGTGTTCTCTCAAATCCTAATCTTCTGGATTCTTCAACACCTCTAGTTTTGACTTTCTAAACTTTTCTCATTTAATCATACTTCTTGAATAGTATCTTCTAATCCTAACCTCTTCGATTACTTCTAATTCCCTTACTACCTCTTCTAATATTGGATTTGAATTGACGAATACTTCTCTGTGCTGATGTGATATGGCAACATGAACTGATGTACTTATGTACAAAGTTCTACGTTGCATCTGACTGACTGACTGACTTAATTAGAATCATGTTAATAATAATAGTAATATGTTTGAGTAGAAAAGTTAAAAATGTTTCTGATGTTTTGTAGCTCAGTGTAGCGTAGTTTTTTAGATAATAAAATACCATGTTGTCAAACTTGATCATGTATTACTCTCAACTCAGTTAACTGACCTGTTCAATTAAGGATTCGGTCAGTCAGTCAGTCAATCAGTTACAGCATAGAACTTCGTGCGTACACACATCAGTTCAAGTGTCTATAACACATTTGCACAGAGATGCAGTTATCAATTCAGTATTTGTAGGGATTAGGGTTAGAAGAAGTAGAATCTAGTATAATAAAGATAAAGGTAGCGAAAAATTCAGAAGGTTAGGATTTGAGCGAAGCCAAAGAATTGATACACTTGAGCCATTGCAAACGATTTTGAGCCATATCGTTCAAGGTCTCTAACCATCGCAGACGTTCGTCTCGTTGACGCCAACCAGATAGTCGACACTTACCAACATGATTCAATGCACTTGTCAGTGACCTCATAGATTTCTGTCATGATTTTGGTTTGTCCGTCCCTAGCTTCCTCCCTACCTACTCCTACATTACGAGTGTTTAAAGAACTCGACTAAATTATAACAGCGATCTCTCAATACAAATGCAAACAAGAATTTAGTAAGGAGAATAAAATTAGGCTACTTTTCTTACAGTATGAGATAATCTTTTACATAGGATACAGTTAGAGATATGTATCTTTAATTGTTGACCAACCAACCATAAGTGAATCTGACTACTCATGCCTCATTCATGTTTAATTGATATTGATAATTGCTGTTCAACTTTCAAATTTTCAGAATTGCCCACATGGACGTCCAACTATGCGACATTTATTTCATTTGGGTCTTTTAAACGATTAATTCAATAAAATAGGTTCATTTTCTATCCAGATGTATGCATTTTTATTTCAAGAGATTCTATTGTTCTATTTTTATCTTCTAATCAGAATTTTTAAAAAAAACTTCATTTTTATATATCAATTTTGTTTTTTTACACTTTACACTGATAGAGGTTTTAAACATTTTATGATTTGTAAAATAATTTATTTAAACGACTTATTGATCACTTGTCAACATTTTTGAATTCTAAAAGAAACTTTTTAAAATATATATGTACTTTTATTGTGCTTTTAATAATAAAAGTAATCCAACTGATCAATCAATCTTGGTTTTTACTCTTGTTGTAAATCTGTCGTGAAATAATTAGTTTTGGTTACGTGATGATCTATCTTACTCTGGACGGTTAGTACTAAAGGCTGGCGTTCGTTAGATAGTGGACACGACTTACTCAATTATCGCATCAGAACGAGAATTTATCGGCAACAATAAGAATGAGTTCATAAATTGACTCATGAACATATTCTCTGTGTAAGATAGTCTGTTATTATTTCAGCAGGAAAATTTATTCATGAGTTGCCGTTCACAATTTCAAGTGCTTTTCAATTTGAGCATTTTTGTCGTTTCACTGTAAGAGTTTTTCTATTAGGAGAAATTAGGAATTGTATAATGTTGAGTTCGGTTTTAGTATTCTGAGTAAAAGAGGTAACCTGTTGTTTGATAAAAGTATCGACTATCGCTGAAGGTCGATTATAAAGTTTGTGACCTGTTAACGATTGAGTTGCAGTCAAATAACAAATGGCAATACTGATTCACATGCAACAACAACACAGAATAAGGACTGCGTTAAATAAGTTTCATTGTTTAAGTGAACTTCGTAATGTGTGAACACGAAATAAAATTCGTAGTATTTAATACTAATTTAGTATTATTTATTGCCAAATCTCGGAAAAATTTCTGATTTGTACAAGTCCTTGGTTGAATGAAACCACATTTCTAAACAGAAAGACTAAGTTCAATACTCTGTTTTACATGCGGATATAAAGTTTGCGTAGAGGCACTCACAAAATCAGAAGTACACAAACTGCGTGAATGCGACAAGCACCAAGATATAATCTAAAATTGTCAAAAAAGTAGATCAACACTTTCTTCAAAAATAATGTCCAAAGTGCATCCACTTCTCACCCGTAACTAAATGTCGTTTAGATGACATAATGTCGATTAGTGTGCACCATTGTTTAGCGAATATTTCGGACGAAAAGTAAAGTTAGTCATCACATACAGGTTTCCTTAGTTCAGAGTTATAGGCTATACAAAAAAATGAAGGTTATGGAAATGGACAACACTGACCCACTCCAATGTTGGCTTGAGAATAGAAGGTTTTGTACCAAGGTAGATAGAGTACGCAAGTTGGTGAGTTTCAACATCGATAATTGCACGAGGGACCATCTAAGGTCCACTACTCTTCTTAATATTTATTGACCTACACAGACGATGCAAAGATATGGAGGTTCATTATAAGCGAAGAGGATTCGACTGAACAGCAGAAGAACCTTACATCCAGTGAGAAATAGGTAGTGAAAATTAGTTAAAACTTAACCACTTTATGTAAATTCTGTCCCATATGGCGCAAACGATTTACACCCTCCAAAGAAGTTCGCTCCTTAATGTCTCCTTACAATGAGATCTCAGTTTGATAACCACAGAGAGCCTCGACACCATTTCGAACTATAGAGGGGACGCAACCAAGGCTAGTGCAACTCTTCACTTTATGCGAGAACAACTTGGTGTTTTCAACCCTGGATTATCCTTGACATCGTTTGAAACATATGTACGCCCACACCTTGAGGTTCACAACGTCGTCGCACACCCTCTGCTTAAAAGAGACATAAATCTCTTCGATCGAGTGTGGAAATCAGCAATGAATTGGGCGATAGGGCTGAAAAATAAAAATCACGAAGGTAGATTACAGCATTTGGGATTATTCCTCCTGAATTACAGGAGAATCAGAGGTGATCTGATTATGGCGTACAACATATTAGGCACACCAAGCCATCCCAATGTGAACATCTCACCGAAGCATCACCACCACACGATTCTATGTAATCCTCGAAATGTTGCCCATCAAAGAGCGAATACTCAAGTTCGCGCACATTCTTTCTTATTGAGAGTCGTTGCTACTTGGAATGCTCTCCGAACCGACGTGACCACAAACTCTTCAATGGAGTTCATAAACATGTACTCACATACCGATTCTCCTCTGCCTCATGGACAAGCTGTTCATGATGCATGCCTTGAGACCTGCTAGCTGTTATAATTGCCATCTATTCAGAGCACTAGCTTAAACTATCTCGCCTATTATCTTTATTTCCTCTCCCTTGATTACACTTCGGTCCTCTGGCATAACCTGACTACCAAATAATAATTAAATTAACTATTTATTCACTTAGCTCTGAAATCTTTTTAGCATTAGAATTTCCTCCTTATTATTCTCTACATTGCAACTAACTGATCTCCGGTCTCGTAATGTGATAGCTGATGTTATCCAGAAACCCTGCTGCCCTGAAACAAACGTACTCATTCAAATCACGGGACATACAAGCCCACAAACAACTGCCAACTGACTAGAATTAGTGCAGTCGAGTGCCTAGACCCCCATTAATTGGATGTACTACCATGCACCTAGAACCGTACCGAAAGAACAAGAATCAAGCTGAAAGAAATCAACTGGTTTATTCTAGCTCGTAAAAAAGGTATGGAATGCATTGGATATTGGATATAAACGGTTGCCTTTTCTTATTACGAATACCCTGATTTTATACTGTTTCACATTGTGACCAAACAACTTACCTCTCTTGAAAAGTTGATAGATATGCATTCTAGAAATTTCATTTGTCTGAAACATAAGGGTTTAGTCATACTAAGTAACTATCGACCTTCAATACGTTTCTCAGTAATTGTATAGATAGTATACAAATTCAAGTTTATGTATTGAGAATAGAGGGCAAACTGCCTTTGTTAGTCCTTTCCTAGTTAGCTTCTAACAATGACTAGTCTGTTTTTGAAAGAGCTGACAACATATCATCAAGTAACAGGTGCTAATATCTGATAACTAAAAGTGAAATCGTGAGTTTCACAAGTGTTTTTTGTCCTTATCTTCTGTACTTGCCTGCCATATCCTCTTAGTCGTTTTGATCTGGTAGGAAAAAAGAGAGTACTTTTCATTGCCAAGATCATTTCTTGGTTGCCTATTCATCAAGACTAAACCACCTCTCAATGCAATGTACGACAAGGTGCAAAGTTCTGTAGTGGAACGCTTCTACGAAGAAAATACGATTTGTGAAAAATAAACATTATTGTACTGGTTTTGTTTGACTTTTTCTACTTCTTGCGCGCAACGTTATCTTCACGTTGCTGCCATCTTTCTCTATTTGCTGTCCCCGATGTAATGCCTACTGTCTCCTTCAACATAACCTTGGAATATGGATTTGTTTTGATATTCGTGAGCATTTAGTGGTGAGCATAGTCAATCTGGTATCTTGACTCGCTCACTACAGTTTTAACTTCTCACACGATGAGTGCATAATAAACCTCAGAGTCATGGAATGGTACAGATATCCGCCTTCTGTACTGTTTGCAAAGTATTCGAATTATATTTTACTGTAGAACTTGCAGCCTGGATGCAGTTTTCCAGTTTGAATTTGACCAAGGTTGTGTATGCCATCGTGAACACAATGGTATAAAACTTGGTAAATGTCCGTCTTGATGCTTATAGGTTTCTGAACACCCTGGCAGACACCTAACAGCACTGAGTTGTGGACTTAAGATTGTGGCTTTTTAATACCGCAAGGTTATTGTGAGACCGGAATACTGAGACTATATATCTTTCCGTCTTTAAGCCTTTTTTCATTTGTGTCTTCAACATACACGCAGACACAGTGGGCCTAACTGACACGCATAAGCTATGTTTTAGACCAGTTAACCAGAATGTATAAATCAGCCGAAGATTCACACGTGTCTGCACCCTTCATTATTTTTAGTCAAAAGTTCTCACTATCGACATAGAGCAGCATCAGTAACTCAAAAGTACTCGAGTGCTAGTTTTCAGGTATGAGGAATGATATCATTTCCCGGCTGCCCACACCATGGAAGGGAGGCCGGCCATGTACAGCCTTTCTATGAGAAATTTTTAAAGTATTAGCTCCGATCTCGTTTAAAAAGTCCTTGCCCACGGAGCCGGAAATTCATGGCATATGATGAGGTGTGATATTTTTAGGGTCCGTCTTTTCTAACCCATCCCTTACTTGTGAGAAGGCAGCATCGCTGCAGATGCTGGTTGTCCGATGTAAACACCTTACTGCTGTCACATTCCTCTACAGTCAGCAGCACGATTTCGCCTTCAGACCTTCAGTTGCATCTTTTAATCTCATCGTTCTTTAATCGACCTGTCTGGCATAGTAGAACCTACAGGAACATATGTTCCAGTCAATAAAGCTCGGTTCGGTCATTGTGGTAGGCAAGCCCAACAAGTTAGCAGCTATGGTTGGGTTCGTTTCTACACAGTATAAAAAAGTAGTTTGAACAGGGATTTCGGCACCCCGCTATCAACCGTTTTACAAGAAGAGCACGTGGAAGTGATTATTACTTTCTGTCTTCGACTCACTTCAGATGATCATCAGCAATTTCTACATTTTCTGCGTTGAGGAGTCTATTGTTCTACAATTAGGTGCTTTGCTAGAGTCGACATCCACATCGACTGGTATCTCTTAATTAAGCGACACTGTTCATTTCTCTCTTGCACTCAGGACACGACAATCCTTTACTAAGGCCACATCGTTCACTGTTGGCCGAGTTATTTGCTTCCACGAAGGTCATTATGGCTTTTCTGACTCTGCTACAGCACTAGTGAGGCATCAGTTCTATAGTTTAATGGGTATTGTTTCGATTCTGTACTACGGATTAGAGTGTCAATTACATCTTTTCAGCTAGGCAATTCAACTTGGTCAAGTGACATATTGAATATCGTGTTCAACAGGTCAGCCATTAGTTTGCAATCTGTCTCAATGTTTTCAGTCGTAGTTCATACAGCCCGGAACCAGCTTCATTGAACAGTGCAAAATCTTCCGAAAAGATCCTTACTAAAAAAGTCAAGAACAGGAAAATCAACCTGTTTTCGCTTGACTGAACCATTCGAAAGATATTGAGTATTGGACTTTTATGCACCTCGATTCACGACTGGTGCGTTACTGTGAGAATGTTCGAACCGAGGGGTTATGTGTCGGATTATGAGTCCGAAACCTCCAGTAATATTGATGGTGGCAGTGAGATAAGGTTGTTATTTTTCTATGGTTTTTAAAATGCTTGTCTACTAAATTGTGGTAGCCAATCTGACATACCTCCTACCAAAGATAAGGAGCTGTGGGAAAAACCTACAAGAGCGCGTTTTCCAGCATACGGAAATTCGAAGGCTGTTTTGGATGCAGAAAACAAAAGGTAGTTTCCGAATATCGACCATAATTTTTCTTTAGAGCCTATAATTCAGCTCTCCGACATCATCTATTAAATCTAGATGCTGTATCCTTTGACCTTTAAAAAATCAAAGTAGTAATTTATCTGTTAAGTCTCATCATTTTGAAATGCATTGTCTGATAGTCAAAAAATATCCCTAAGTTTGCCTTGATATTATATCAAAAGATAAGGAAACCTGTGAGTGTGATGACTAACTTTACTTTTTGTCCGAAACCTTCGCTAAACGGTTATGTACAGTTATCTAAATAATGGTATTTAAAAAGAAAACGCAGGTTTAATATACTCTATGGTACTATTAATATGGGTAATTTGTTGGTGATTTGGATTCCGGCTAACTTCTCACTTCGGTGTCCGAAATCTGCCATTGGTGTCAATATGTTTAAGTTTGGAATGCGTTACTTCTTTTCTGCCTACATTGTCATACTAATCAGACGAAACAATATTGTTTTTGTTTGTAAATCCATCTGTATATTAATGAAGGACTTAACAGGTGTATTGTATCATGGTACTTGTAATACGAACCGAGTTAGCAGAATCGTGTCAGTAGGTACGCGTGGTTTTATAGGAGCATTTCAAGATCTTGTATAGGTTTCCTACACAGCGACTTCAGGCTATCTCGAGACAGATGCTAACCTGAACGGCTCTCTTTTACACATACATGCAGACAAGCGCGTAGCGTATCTCCCTGCTCTAACCTGTGATGTTTTTTTTTTTAAGTCAGTGTATTTTCCGCACATTTCAGCTGTATCTTTTTATACAATAAATTTGTTTATAAGAAGTATTACTATACACTTAACTTCATCCAAAGTTCGAACGTCATAAAAAATTGGTGAATAACTATTTGCAGTATTACGGTGGATCATGGAAGGATTTCGAGCGTGACACGTAATTTTTTCTCGTTCATTATTTATGATCTGTATTACAGTTCGAAGGATAAGACAGATGTTGACGTTATAAAAGAACATGGGCGGTTTTTGTGGTCAGATGAAGATGAGGCGACATCTTGGTATGTTCACTATTACTTTACAGTTTACTTATACTATGATTAATAAAGATATCTAGTGTTTTCAGCATGCAAGTATTTTAGTTGTAGCACATGTTTTGGGTATTTCGTATATGCTAATAAGTACTACACGGTTACCCGAAATTGAGTAGACAGTAAGGTCAGGGCCTGGGACTTAGTAGATGAAAGTTGAACTCCCTAATCATTAAGCTAGTGCTTCATTCACGTGTTTCTATGAACCCTTATTCCAGTGACTATTGGTCATATGCTATAATCTTAGAGCCTCCACTCATCGAGTCTTTAATCGCATCTAGATAAATGATTAGGCATCAAAATAATCGACCAGTATTTATGTAGACTTATCATTGCTAGTATGGTACATATTTGTATGCATGAATAGTTATATGTGTATGATATAACCTCATAAACGTTACTCCGTAGTATCTTTCAGGCAGGCCGTAGTGTCAAAGTAGCCTTCATAGTAAAGCCTGCCCACACTGTCAAATGCTCTCTCGTAGTCAGTAAGGTTGATGTATAGTGGTGAGTTCCATTCAATTGATTGTCCCCCAATGATCCGTAGTGTCGCGATTTGCCCGGCACATGAACGTTCCTTGCGAGATCCAGCCTGCAGATCTCGAAGTTGAGCGCCTACATAGTGCTTCAGTCGGTTTAACAACACTCGCTTGAAGAATTGTACTTGGTATTGAGAGAAGAGTAATGCCTCCATGGTTCTCAAACTTGCTGATATCCCCTTTCTTTGGTATTTTGATGAGCTGTCCTTTCCAGTCGCTTTGTACTTGTTCCTCCCAAATCTTGCTGAACAGAGTGTGAAACAACTTTTCAGTTACTGCTACGTCTGCTTTCAATACCTCAGTTGGAATGCTGCTGCTTTACCACTCTTGATTTTTCTGATGGTCATGATAATCTCTTCAATCGTCTGGGTCAACATCAATTGTGGGTACTACTTCGGTGATGAGTGGGGCTGATCAATTCAATAGTTCTCCAAAGTACTCTATACACCTGTGCCGCTGTTCTTCAATGTTGCTGATTACTTTGCTTACCTTGCTTTTCACTGGTCGTTATGGTTTACGATATTTTCCAGCGAGCTTCTACGTTGTGCTATATAGTTATCTCATGTTTCCTTCTCTTGCAGCTTTTTCTGTTATCATTGTTAGTTTAGCAGCAGTTATGCCCCTCTTCACTTGCTTGTTTGCTTCTGTGTATTTAGCTTGTGCCTCGGATTTCTCTGTTCATGTTCGGCAGATATTGATTACTGTCTTCTTGTTCTTTTCTTGAATCTTATCCAGAGTATCAACTGAGATTCTTTCTTTGTGATAGGGGTTCTCTTGGTCCAAATCTTCATGATATGTTGAAGTGATTGCTTCCTTGATCCCTTTCCAGATGTTCTCTGTTGTAGTTGCCTCTCGATTGAGTAGGTCGTAAAAGGTTCGAAACCTGTTGCTGGGGGTTATCTTGGTTTTGTTGAGTTTGTCAGTATCCCTAAGAAAGGCTGTATTAAGCTTTTGTGGTGCTGTTCGACCAGTTGTACAGTACTTCTTTAGTTTCAGCACCACTTTAGCTACCACCAAGTAATAATCTGAAGCTATGTTGATTTTTGTTTTTGTTCTTACCTCATCCATGCTCCTTCTGAACTTTTTATTGATATAGATGTGTTCGATATCGTTCTGTGTTGTGTGATCTGGTGAAACTTATATCGCTTTGTGTATGCTCGTGTGTAGGAATATGGTGCTGCCTATAGATCCTTTGTTGACGGCACATAGGTTTGCGAACCTCGCACCGTTTACGTTCCTTTCTCCTAGCCCCTGTTGTCCCGTGATGTCTTCATTTCCTGTGTTGTCCATTCCAACCTTAACGTTTAGGTTTCCCATTGATACAGCTAAATTCTTTGTTGGTCTTTTTTCGATGATTGACTGCAGCCTTCTATAGAATTGATCTCTACTGTCCTCATTGTTATCGTTGGTGGTCTTTTGGTCATAAGTTCGAGTTGTGCCTTCACCTCTCTCGATTTGATCAGCCTAATATTATTACCAATTCTTACGTAATCTTTTTAATACAGGCTGAGTACATGACTGTACTACGTAGGTGAGTCATAGAGATTAGTTTCAATTGTTTGAGCTTTTGTTAAACAGATCGAATATGTTTTGCTCTTGACCATTACACTGTTGCACTGTTTGCATAATGTGTACATTTCATCTACCCTCTTCAAAAACCACATTTATATAACTGCTATGATCAGTTTTTTGTGTTAGTAAAGTTATAATTCAACTAGTAAGCACAGTATATTTGTACAGTGTACTTAATTACGTTTTTTTAGTCTCAAAATTCATATTCCTATCTGATCATTGATGTAAACCACGATTGTCTCTTAGTGTATAGTCTAATTGACTGTTCGTATAGGAGATTTCTGTATCTTCATTATGATAAATATTATTATTATTATTATTGTTATTATTATTATATTTCTACAGGTCCGATCGTCTTGCTAAAAAATACTGGGAAAAACTTTTTAAAGAATATTGCCTTATTGATTTATCACGTTATAAACAAAATAAGGTGAGTTGAAGTTGAGATAATATAGAAAATTAATTGATGTTACTCACTCACTACATTGTGGTTACGCCTCATATATTCTGTGTATTGGTATAAACAACAGACAATGGAAGGAATTTTTCTCTATAGACATGCATTATATTACGTTGTGTCATCCGATCATATTAATAAACTGTTATTCTGTAGAAATAGCAGTTACGTAACTCTAGTAATATACTAGCTATAGGTTGGTGCAGTCAAGGACGGGGAGAGCCCTGTCTTAGATTGCTACAGGTATCTATTCAGTGCCTTCTCATAGAGAGAAATTTACCTTACGGACTTGACAAAGCGAAGGTTAGTCTGTTACAACGTAGTACTTCGTACGTACTTACGTACATCACTTCAAGTTGCCATACTACATTAGCACAGAGAGATGCAATTGTCAATTCAAATCCCATAGTAGTAGAGGTATTAGAAGTATTAGGAGTAATGAAAAAGATTAATGATCGAATGTATCATTCGAGATGTATATCCCAAAGGAATAGATTAAAAAATAGAAACAAATAACGGTCATCAGGAATTCAGAAGATTAAGATTTTAGAGTACACAAAGAATGGATGCATCTGCGCAATTGCGAACGATTTTGAACCATGCCATTCAAGGTCTCTAACCATCGAATACTATCATCTCGCGGACCTTAACCAGGTAGTCGACGCCTGTTAGCGTGTCTCAGTCCAACTCTTAGTGACTTCGAAGATTTGTGCTATGTTTTGGTCTGACCACCTCAACTGATGCAGTTTCAACTTTCCATCTATTGATCTGCCACCCTTACCTAGGACCCGTTTTTTAACGACAGCATTGATTACCCAGTTGTCCCATGATACACAAGCAATGCTTTTAAGACACCTACGATCGAAAACCAGTAACCTACGAATATCTACTCTTACTGGCTATGTTTCACAGATATAAAGTAGGACTGAGCGAACTACTGCGCAGTACACTCGTCCAGGCTGGTAGCTGTAGAGGACTCACCTAGGGGAGTTAAAAAACCCTGATTTCAAACCAATTATGCTTATTGGCCTCGAGATCATGAAGCGACAAATGGCTTGTGAACCTATTGTCGGTCACCAACACTAACATGAGACTGAATCTTCTAACGTCGCCCCACCTTTTTGCGGAATAAACCTCTTTGTAAAAGGCTTAGAGAGTGGTCCCTTAAGAAGGGCATCTACTTCGCGGGGACCTGAACAGTTTGTCCGCCCATACACAAATTCAGTGATTTTTGTTGTGCTTATATATATTTAGATGTCTTTTTGTACCAATGTTTATGCGTGTGTGTATTTATGATATATTTTTTATGACTTTCATCTCGCAGATGTTTTTTTTAATTAGTTAATCAGTGTAATTTTAGTCATCTCGGCAGCGTACTTATCAGCTTACTTATGGAGTAGGTTTACACAAAAAAGAATCCGTAAATACTATGTGATTCAAAAATATTTCATCTTCAAAAGGAAATAACAGCTCTTAATAATGCTTTAATAATGAAAAGCATTACGTTATAAAGTAAAAAACTGGAGAGAATGTTTAACATAGATTTTGAATTGTTGTATTTAGTGCTTGACATAATAGTAGTGTTTTCTGTCTGGTAAAATTCTTTTCGAACATTGAATTCATTGATTTTGCTGTGTCTCTTAAAGTCTACTTTTTGTTTTGTTGTACTAATTATTGGTCGATTTTTTCAAATTATGTCTCATACATAAATATTCAATATTCAATACATGTCAAGATAATGTCAATGATTTTCTGTAGATGTTATACCTTCTAAGCTGTGGATAAATGAATCATTCATATCATCCAGTTTAGGAAAAAAGGAATACAACACTTCCAAGACCAATACATATCAGTTGGTCATTCAGTTATATGTAAGGTAGAACTTGGGACATGTGTACATCGGTTCAAGTTATTACAACCTATTTTAGTAAAGCGAGATAAAGTCTTTGCAAATCCTAACGTTGTAGAGGTAGAACATTGATAATATCTATAAAAAATGTTGAACATCGAAGATACAATTCGATAAGTAAGTCATGTACAACGCGGAACGTACGTACGTACGTACATAAGTTTAGGTCGCCAAACCACATTAGCACAAAGACGCAATTATCAGTTCAAATCCCACAGTAGTAGAGATAGTAGAAGTATTACTGTTAAAGGAGAATATTAGAGTTCGAAGAAATTATTCGAGAAGTGTAATTCAGTGAAATAAATTTAGGAAGATAAAGATAGAGATGATGAAGAATTCAGAAGATTAGAATTTCAGATAACACAAAGAATGTATGCACCTGTGCCATTGCAAACAATTTTGAGCCAAGCCATTCAGGGTCTCTAACCATCGGTCACTATCATCTCGCGATCCCCAACTAGGTAGTTGACACCTATCGACATGATTCAGTACACTTGTCAATGACTTCATGGATTTCTGTCATGTTTTGGTTTGGCCACCCCCACCTTTCTTCTAACCTACTCCTACACCACAAAATATAGCTCGTCGAGGCAATTGGTGGTTAGGCATACGTAACACATGTCCCAACCACCTCAATTCGTGAAGTAACTTTACATTAAAGAAATAGTAAATACATAATTATATAAATTTATGAGTAATTTATAAAATAGATACCCAAAAGGATAGAAAATATGGAGAATACACGTTCGCACTCTACAAACAATTTTTAACCAAGCCATCTAAACTCTCAAACCATTAGTAATGAACAATCGTATATCGTTTTGAATTATTCGAAAAGAAATCATCCTTTAGATGGTAGTATATTTTCAATGGTTAATCCAGTAGTATCGAATTTTTAAATAAACACCAACAATGTTCTTATTGTCTGGATAGCCGAATAGACCTGCTTCTACTTATAACATTATCTTCGTCCGACTTTTCCGGAGTGGACCTTCCACCAGGAGAATACGCTGACAAAATGCATTTTGTCCTGATTACCCTAAACAACAATGCAAGCATGTTCGGAATGCGATTCTCCCTCGTCGAAATGCAAAATGTTGCTTCAAGATTAGGCTAAATCGGCACCTGAACTAGTGATAGGGAGTGAAGTAGTTCCTAACCTTCAAAGTTCCTCATCTTTTTAAGTTTATTTCACTAGATTCTACCTCTTGAATAATATCTTCGAACCCTAATCTCTCCGATTACTGTTAATACTTCTACTACCTCTACCGCTATGAGATTTGAATTGACAATTCCATCTATCTTTGCGCTAATGTGGTATGGCAACTTGAACTAATCTACGTGCATATGTACGAAGTCCTACGTTGTAACTGATTGACTGACTAACTAACGTCTATAAATTAAACCTTATGTTGTCTTTTGAATAATGATTTTTTTCCCATTTGTGATCGCATACTATTCTCAAGTTTTTATTCTGTAACTTTTGAATTTTGCCTCTTTTAAAACATCCTTTAATTAGAAGTACAGTCTACTTTGTACTTAATTTTTTCCCGATTTGTTTTGTTTCTTTTTTCTATACAGTTTGGTATGCGATGGAGATTAGAAAGAGAAGTAATATCTGGTAAAGGTATGTATATTATTTATTATTATTATTATTATTATTACTATTATTATTGACATATAAATTTCATGTTTGCATGTGTTCACTGATTCGTTTTATGCATATTTTTTTATATCAGATACTTTATGTGTACGTTTTTCGTTGTATGATAAAACTATAATACTAGAGAAAGTTATTTCTTCCGGTGTTGGACAACTGTAGTTTTTATAAATAGATATAAAAGGTGTTCTGTATTGTCTATACATTCGGATATGTGCGTGCGAACTTATTGTCTTCTGTGAGACTTCAATGTATCTGTAGTAATCTCCACTGTATTCATGATTCATCAACTAAACTAGTTTACAATTCGTTACGCCTGCATGTAAACACGTCAACTTGACATACTTGAACTATTACGAGTTTACCTAGTCGGAAAAAAACGAGAGCCGAGGATCGAGGATCCGGTGACACGACATGCTACTCAAATCCGATTATCCTAACCCCCATATTGAGTAAAAATAAGAAGACTTGATATGAAGTAGAACCTGTATTCTACAAGCATCCAGAAAGTACGAGGTCCGAATCCAGAAGAGAATCAGGATTCCAGACTAGGGATCCGGGACCGGGTCCTAGTCCTGGTCGTAAAACGTTACAGATAATGCGTATTTATACATTTTGGTCGAATAGGAAACAGCATTGAAGTCTGTGACATTGACAGTTAGAACGACCAATAAGAATCAACATTTGAAGTGACATTGATATCTAGGACGACCATAAAATTGACCAGTAGGAATTAACCAATAAGAATTGACCAGTAATTCTCTTCGGATATTGGATGAATATCCTAACACAGTTAGATCTGTTTAGCTAAGTAATCTGAATGTTGATAAATTATACATCAGCTATATTGATCGTTTGAACATTAAAAGCTCCAACATTTAGTTTAGAGCGGGATTTCAAGAGACGAAGAACAAAGTTCTGTATACTCGGACCGCTCGCTTTGGCGGTGCCAGGTGATAAAGGAATGTAAGGAGGGTTAGTCGTGGAGTTAAGAGAGTTCGGAAGGATTCGATTGTGGCCAATCCAATCTCGTGTACTGTTAAGAGTGTTGGGGCGAATATCACTTCCAGGCTACCCACACCATGGAAGGGTGCTTCATGAGAAACGTGAACTGGGTTTCAAGAGACCAGGAATGACGTTTCGTGAACTTGCTTCGTTTGTGTTAGCGGTGCAGTGAGATAAGAGAATATGAGTAGAGTTAGTTGTGGAGAGAAGAGAAGTATTAAGGGGTGTAGGGAGGATCTGATTTCGACCAATTTGGTCTCGTGTGCTGTTACTGGTATGAGGGCGGTTGTCAATTCCCGGCTGCCCACACCGTGGAAGGTTGTTTCTTGAGGAACCTGAAAAGGAAGATAGATTAGTGTTGGTCTTAGAGACCTGGGTGCGTGACCTCAGAGCCCAAGGGACAACTGTTTGAGGCCGGTCAAGCACGGCCTTTTTATGAAGGGTTTTTTGAGTATTAGCTCCGCTCTTAAGGGCCCTTAGTGGGCACCCTTACCGCCGGAGACGGAAATCCATGAGGTAGGGTGAGGTGTGACATTTTTAGGGTCGAAGTTTTCTAACCCTTCCTTCCTTGTGAGAAGGCAGCATCGCTGCAGATGCTGGTTGTCCGAGGGAAACACCTTACTGCTGTCACACTTCTCTGCAGTCAGCAGTACGACTTCGCCCTCAGACCTTCAGTAGCTCCTTTTAGTCTCACTTAGAGATAGACAGGTATGGTTCAACAAATCGCACACAAGTTTTCTAAACTTATTTTTCAGTTGAATTTTCATTGTATTATTATGTTGTATGAAAATTTCAGGTCAATTTACTTGTGGAAATGTTGCTTGCGCAGCTGGATCTGAACGTCTTCGTAGTTGGGAAGTGAATTTTGTTTATCAAGAACGAGGTGAACGACGTAATGCTTTAGTTAAAATACGTTTATGTCCTCCTTGCTCGGAAAAGTTGAATTATCGATATAGGTCAGTGAAACTTACCAGTTATTTTAAAATCATGTTTCCACTTTTTCATTTATTACGTTTCTAGAGATTCCTTTTTTTATTATGGAGATTTTACGGGAAGCTTTAATTTTCACAGTTTTCTTCATCGTTTAATTTTAATTCGACACCTAGTGATAACAAAATATTGCTGTCCCATCTTAGTAATTGGATCCTTGACTATGCTCATCCTTAACCCCTATCGCTATCAAACCCAATTTTGTCTCGTGTGCTGTTACGAGTATTCGAGACCCAGTGTGATGTTCGAAGAAATTAAGACCAGATGAAATATAATATTTATAGAGAAAACAGCTTACTAACAAAATGCGTACACCTTTTCTAGTCTTCCATTTACAAAACAAGCAGATTATTGACTGTCTTTTCCCACATGTCTTATGGTCTTGAAACTACGTGAATCACTCCATGCATTTTGATTTCCTGTCACTCTTCTGTTGAGTAGCAATTACTAGGCAACGCTACGCTACATGGTACTTATATACCACTTTGTAAGTAGTATTCATCACATTCAGGTCTTAACTCAGGAATTTGAATTTTATGTGCTCATCACAAGACCTAGTGCTGCTGATCTCAATTCGTGGTGGGATCGCTGATGCACACATTTGCTTTGCATACTATGACATAAAAACGTTTCAGTACTTACTTACATACGCCTTTTAGCCCCAGCAGAGCCATAGGCCGCCGACCAGCATTCTCCAAACCTGCTCTATCCTGAGAAACTGTCCAGTGCTTCACGTTATAGTTCTTTATTATCCTAGTTGATTCTGGGAGCTCTAATGCTTTTTAAGATTATGTCACCATCAAATTTGGAAATTGATACGAACGTTTATTAGTTCTGTTTGCCACACCCAACATCATAGAAAATTAACCAGATAAAAAGAAAGATGGATGAATGAGTTTCAATTGTAAACGAAATCTAACTATATCAGACATACAGTCAGTCAGTCAGTTGCAACGTAGAACTTCGTACGTATGTACATAAGTTCAGGTTGCCATACCACATTAGCACACATAGACGCAATGGTCAAATCAAATCCCATAGTGATAAAGATAGTAGAGGTATTAATGGTAATGAAGAAGACTAGGGTTCGAAGATATTATTGAAGAAGTATAATTCAGTGAGATAAGGTTAGAAAGACGAAGGTAGAGGTGCTGACGTATCCAGAAGATTAGGATTTGAGAGAGCACAACGAATGGATGCACTCGCGCCATTGTAAACGATTTTGAGCCATGTCGTTCAAGGTCTCTAACCATTGGTGACTATCGTCTCGTGGACCCCAACCAGGTAGCCTACATCTACCAACATGACTCAGACATACAGTACAAAGGGAGGAATATGTTTTTTTAAGAATGATGAGTTAGAAATGGTACCTAAATCAAAACTTAGAGGAAGATAGTGAGTAAATGCAACTGTACCACTACCACAACATTTCCGTATGTTGATCACTAGTATCCCATAGTCCCGAACTCAGAAGCTAGTTCGAGTCCTTGGTTTATGCCTACATATACTAATAATTAGAGGTCTTGCTCTGTCGGCAGATAGCTCTTGTCTAGATTATTTGTACTTATTTATATTCAGCGTTATTCCTCATGCTGTGTGGAGTTTAGAGTTAACCACTTCAATCGATAAAGTTTCATAGCCCATGAACCAACTTGGAATTTTCACATTTTATCAATAAGTTTAAAACTACAGAATGCTAGATGGCTTTTCAACCGTTCCTGTATATTCTTTAATTTGAATATGACTAATGTTTTTGGTAATATGTAAACCAGATCACACGTATAGTCTATCAGTCAGTCATTATTTATATATTTGAACATCACATAAACATTGATACAAATTAGGTACCTAAATATTTATGTACTACACTAATTAATGAATTTAGGAATAGGCTGGGATACTGCTCTGACAACGAAACCGCAGCAGGTCACATCAATCACTGTTTCTAGATTTATGCATGTTGTCTGGTAGCTTTTGACTGGATTAACTCTCTTTATTCATGGCATTCGAACAGTATAGTTTAGAGCTAATATATCTATATGATGGTGACACGGTTTAGAATCTCATGCGAAGGGTCCATTTCTTGAAAAATGCAAATACTCTTCAATAACCAGTGATGATTGTCAGGAAATCTAAATTTTAGACTTTTTTTTGTAAGTTCACAGTTTTCTCTAAAACATTACAAGACAAGGTATTTGATGTTAGCTCAATCGAATACGATTAATTGAAGTTAGTCAGCACTAAAAATAGATAAATAAAAGATTGGGTACTATTACTTAGTGTAGTAATCAATCAGTCAGTAAGTAGGATGCAACCTAGAACTTTGTACGTAAGCACATCAGTTCAAGTTGCCATATCACATTAGCACAGAGATGTAATTGTCAATTCAAATCCAATATTAGTAGATGTAGTAAAGGTATTAGAAGTAATTGGAGAGGTTAGGATTAGAAGATATTATTCAAGAAGTATGATTCAATGAGAAAAGTTTAGAAAGACAAAACTAGAGTTGTTGAAGAATCCAGAAGATTAAGATTTGAGAGAACACAAAAAATAAATGCACCGGCGCCATTGCAAACGGTTTTTAGCCATGTCAATCAGTATGTAACTACTCTATGCCGATGACATAGTCCTACTTGGTGAAGATGCTGACAAAATGCAGAGTCTTCTGACCACCCTAAGCAACAATGCAAGCATGTTCCGGATGCGGTCCTCACCCTCGAAATGCAAAATGTTGCTGCAAGATTGGGTTGCATCGGCACCTGAATTAGTGATAGGGAGTGAAGTAGTCGAGCATGTAGACCGCTTCACTTATCTTGGGAGTCTCATCAGTGCCGATGGCCTGGTGACTAACTAAATCTCAGCTCGGATACAGAGGGCTCGATTAGCTTTCGCTTAATTGCATTCCTTATGGCGTAGGCGAGATATCCGTTTGCTGACTAAGGACGAGTGTAATGTGCAGCAGTTCGCTACGTCTTACTTTATGGCCGTGAAACATGGCCAGTGAGAGTAGAAGATATTCGTAGGTTACTAGTTTTTGATCATAGGTGTCTTCGAAGCATTGCTCGTATGTCGTGGGACACCCGAGTGAGCAACGTTGTTATTAGGAAACGGGTGCTAGGTAATGATGGCAGATAAATAGATGAAGGAATCAAACTTCATCATTTGAGGTGGTTGGGACTTGCGTTACGAATGCCCGACCATTGACGCCCTCGAGGAGCTTTGTTTTGTAGTGTAGGAATAGGTTGGAAGAAAGTTAGGGGCGGCCAGACCAAAACATGGCAGAAATCCATGAAGTGACTGACAAGTGGACATAGCCATGTTGGTAGATGTAGACTACCTGGTTGTGGTCCGCGAGATGATAATAATCGATGGTTAGAGACCTTGAATGACATGGTTCAAAACCGTTTGCAATGGTGCCGGTGCATTTATTTTTTGTGTTCTCTCAAATCTATTCCTAACCTCTCCAATTACTTCTAGCACCTTTACTACCTCTACTACTATTGGATTTGAATTGACAATTATATCTCTGTGCTAATGTGGTATGGCAACATGAACTGATGTACTTACGTACAAAGTTCTACTTTGCGTCTGACTGACTGACTGATGTAACTACTCTCTTCGGCGGTTGCTTAATGCATATGTTATGTATGTTAGAGGCGTTGGATTACGAATTCGATCAATAAGTTTTACTCCATTTTCTTCTTTCCATTTTTTCGGTTTTTTTTCAAGGAGACGTGATGTTACCGGTAAACAATTAAATCAAAACCAAGGTCATGATGAAAGTACCATCAACCAACAAGAAACCAACGATACTACTACTAATAATAATACAGAATCTTCCAATACTTCCCCTTCATCAAAACGCTCACGTATTGATCACATAAACAATGATGTTGACAAATCACAAGAACAAAAATCAACCGATCCAAATTCAATATGGTGTTCTACATCATCATCATCATCATCGTCATCATCAGGTCCATTGGCGCAGAATAGCAATAAAAATTCCTCAACAACAGCAACTACTCCTACTACTGGTCATGTTAGTAGTGGCGGTATTATCAAAACACAAGATGATGAATTTGATGAGTATTTTGCTGATATGTTAATTTAAACTTTGTGTAACTTTTGGTTTCCTCTCTGTCTCTCTCTCTCTCTCTCTCTATCTCGCTGCCTCTTCGTCTTTGTTCACACACACGTACATACAAGCGTGCACATTAGTTTTATGTTGTAAATACATATATATTTACTATGAAATAATTATCTCTTGCCCTATTTCTATTATTCCATTTGTCTTATGAGGTGTTTGCATTATGCTTATTGGTAATAATGATGGTAGCTTTTATAATTAGCCCTATTATCATCTTGCTGTGTATTTTACTGGCCAATCGGCCATTCTACTTTTTTCTAATAATTATGTGGTCTATTGAAAAGTCAGTTATTGTATCAATTTTTTCTTTTCCTCTCTTGTGTAAATTTATTACAAATTATGACGTACATTTATGTCAGTGTTTTTCCCTTTTTTTTCATGTTTATCTATCTATCTATCTATCTATCGATTGTGTAATACACAATTGACGAATAATAATATAGCGTAAATAAGCATTTTTGGTTTTTTTTTGTTGTGTTTTACCACTTATTTAATTTACGCCTGTGTCCCTCCCCCGCCCACGTCCTCTGGGGTTTCATCCTTTCTAGTTCCGTTCAACTGTTGTTTATTCTTCTCGGCGTAATTAGTTGTTTGACCTTCCTCTTACCCCTTTTAAATTTAAGGATTCCAAGAAAGAGAGAGAGAGGGCTTGTCTTGTGTGTGATGCAGTTGAATGCTTTCCTCAGTGTGGTGTCCTATCTACCTACCTACTGCTAGCGGATCTTCCTAAATTTCCCACGTTTGGTGGAATCATCTGGTTTGTTCTCCTCTTACAGTAGATAGTTGGTGTCTTTTACAATAGTATCATACTCACTTGTTGGGGATGTTAGATCCTCAAAACTCGCTTGATAAATGCCTTATTTCGGTTTTCGCGTTTGCCAGCATGGGCTGATCAGTTGACTTTGAGATTTCAATTCCCATCAGGAAAATCCATGGCTGTGATTGGCTGCTGTGTGTTATTTTAGTGTGCTCTTTTCTTAACTGTTCTAAGGATGTTTCTATGATGTATAAATAAACGAGAGTTGTATGCTTGATTGTATCGTGTGATTGCTGGGTGTTGTAGAATATACTTCTACGCTTACCAAGACTTCTGTTTTACCGTTTGAATTCAAGGTAACCTGCCTGGACGCTGGTAAAGTCTCGTTCGCGTTTATCGACTAATGTAAACTCGTAATAGCCTCAAGCATACCAAGTGACGGACCCAATATCACTTCAATCACGAGTAGCATCTATTATACCTAGCCTTTCAGGGTTTGCCCCAAGCCTTTGGGACAACTTCAACTAATCCAATCTTTTCGAGTTATGATATTCACACGTCTTTTAATCTTGTTTATCATTCACAGTGGATCTCAATAACATCTGCCGAATTGATAGATGCTCGTAGACTCATCCTGTCTGGCTCTGAACATGACTAAGATCGTAGTGAGCTCAAGAGTTCAGGCTGATAAGAAACCTACGCCATGATCGCGAACAGTGGTACGTAGCGAAAACAAGAGAGATGGAAAGTGCAGCAGCGGTAGGCAACAGTAGACGACTATTCAGATTTAGCATGGAAGCCGGTAATAGGAATCCGAATGTTATTGAGACTATCTCGGAAAAGTATGAGCTTAATATTCATTCATTGGGTCGATGGGCAGAACACTTTAGATATCCATTCAATTGGCCTTCAGACACACTTCGGTTACCCACGAATTCCAGTCAACCTGAATGGAGAATTGTTAGGCTTTACGGAATCTGAAGCGACAGAGAGCAGCGGACCCTGATTGATTGACCCCTGAGGTTTAAGGATGATGGTCAAGTTTTAGCAATGAGATTGACTGAGATCTTAAATAGAATTAGGGAACTGGGCGTAATCCCATCTTACTGGTCTCAATCCCTGATTGTCCTAGTCTATAAGAAAGGACAATCACAGAGGGATGAGTTTGACTAATATAGTGTCTAAAATGTTATCCTAGATATTACTTAGACACCTAACTGAAGCTCTTGAAGAGCAGACTAGAGAAAACCAGGTTGGTTTTTGACCTGAATGTGAATGTATACACCACATATTCACACTACCTACGCACGTTCGGATGTCGTAATAACATTGTCTTCTCATTTAGTACGCGCATAGAGTTCTCGAATGCCTGTATAGCGCCTGCTAACAAATGAAATATTCGGGCTCGTCCTCTCGAAGCTTCTGTTAACGTTTGGAATGAATCGTTTATAGTAGTTGATTAACCCAAGGAATCATCGAAATTATTTTGTGATTCGGGCAACGGATAATCACGAATAGCTGCAACTTCTGATGGAACTGATGTGATACCTTGAGAATTTATTGTGTCCTAGAAATCGCAGCGATTTCTTCTCAACGTTGATGTCGATACCATGTTTTTGTAGTTTATTGAACAACTGTCTTAGTTGTTGTAGATGTTCTTAGGATGTAGCACTAGCGACAAGTATGCTGTCGATGTATACATATACGCCTGACAAACCTTTAACGACCTGGTCGATGAATCTCTGGAATGTTTGAGCTTCATTAGTTCATTCGAAGGGCATTCACAAAAATGCAGATAATCCGAATGGAGTGATCACGGCCTTTTTCGGTAACATCCTCCTGCGCCACGACAATATGGTAATAAGCTCTTACAAGGTTAATCTTCGAAAAGATCACGGCACTATTCATGTTGTTAGTAATGTCGTGGATATGTGACAATGGATATCTATCAGCCAGAGTTTGTTTCTTAAGGGCTGTATAATCTCCAAATGGTCTGTAGTGTCCAAAACCAGATGATGTACAGGCAAAACTGATAGAGAATGTTACGAAAAAAGAGGGAGATATTGCAAACAGTTCGCTTGAATATTCTAAGAATTAGTTATGACGTCGCTTTGAAATTGGTCATTTTACAACCTACTTGTATCTACCTTTGATTGGAAGGAAAGAAAACATTTACTCAATAAGAAGTATAATAGATTGTGAGGAATTATTGTCACTGGTAATTCCACTAGTTCTAAGAATCAATCAATCAATAGCAACGTAGAACTTAGTAGGTACGTACATCAGTTCATGTTACCATACCGCATTAGGACAGAGATGTAATTGTCAATTCAAATCCCATAGTAGTAGAGGTAGTAAAGGTATTAGCAGTAATCGGGA